TCTTTAATGTCGTTACCGCAGCTTAATTCCATCATATTAATACAAAGTTTACATTTGTAATACATTCCACTATCAATTGTTAACATTAGCATCATAACATGCACAAAGAAAACAAACTAACCGGAAACGAGTGAACTTAAAACAGTAAATAAGTAACAAAAGGAAATATCCAATAAATAAGTAACACATAACTGGTAGATAAGTAAGTAAGCGTACTGTTAGGCTTACCAGCATTCGACCTCATCATATTACCGGTAGTTACCCCTGTACAGTTTTAGCATTGCGCAGACAATAGCGGCACTACGGTAACGCCATTGCCTCCTGGCAACAAAGCCATTGGAAGTTTGAAACAAAGGTCATGGTCGCGACTGTATAGTGCTCAGCCAATAGCAGTGGCCTAAGGGACTCGGCAATTATGATTCCGCGTCTGGTAGACGCTTGTTAAGGCCCTTCCCATTGTGCAATCCATAGCCTCAGCTGAAACTTTCGCACCCCACTACAGCCACTGAAAGTATTACGGTAAACAAAGTGCGCCCACTTCCAACATTGTCGTTTCATTGTACAAACAATTCGAATAATTTAAAACATGATAACATGTGCAATTTTAGTGTGAGTGGTTTATTCAGCAGTGCTTTAGTCAAAGGTAAGTGTTGCATAGTGGATAGTCCTACCATGAAAAAATTAAACTAGTTATGACATGTCACACGTGTAAAATATTTTTGGGATAGCCCGCACGTCCATATACCCCGCAGGGTCTTGTTTTGTTTGTAAGAAGTGGTATACCCCGTGGGTTATATGCGGGAAAATACGGTAATCACAGGTGGTGCATCGGCCAGTCATCTCAGTCGGTTGACCCATGGCACCTGAGCCTGTCCTGTGACCTGCCGGCGGGCGTTCGACACTTCACATGGCCTTGAAGTGCTCGTAGCTTGGCACAAGTGCTGTGGTGACGTGACTGCCACTTAGTGGCGAATGGCGGTTGTTGTTGTTGTGACCACGCATGCCTACGCCTGTCAGGACGGCTCGCTGCAGATATCGCTGCCTCTAGGGTCGCCACCTGTCTGGGCTGGACCCCGAAAATCCGGGAATTTACGTCTTTGTACTGAAATTTTGGGGGTGTTGTCTTGAAGTTTGATAGAATTCTGCACTATTGATAGGCCTAGGCTTACTGAGAAATACGTGGAGGGTTTGGTCTGTGCAAGAGGGTAGCAACCTGATTCGTCCCTGATGCGAATTGTAGCAGGGAATCAATCTCTGGTTTCCACATCCCCTATCTCACTTCATGTATCTCAGTATCATCTAATATTACTATTATTACTACGCTTGTTAACCCAGGAAATCCTCACCGTATCTCGACACTTTCCAGAGGGCCCTGCCAAGTTTCCACACTAGGGACGGTATTGCTGTGGATAATCCCGTTTGTGTAATTTGCAGGGTTTTTTAGCTTTGGGATGTTTGGCCATTTCCAGTATATGTTGGGTTTTTTTTAGCTATGAGAGCAGAAAACTGGCGAACCCCTGGGAAACCCACGTAGAACAGGGGGAGCACAAACAAACTCCACACGGAAAGATGCCCAAGTCGGGAATCTAACCCCAGGCAGGGCCTTTTTGCTGTCAGGCAGGCAGTGCCAGTATTAAATAATAATTCCTCTGTGGCACAAGTCAGCTCAGGCAGATTGTGTTTAGACTGATCGTGGTGCAATTACAATTAAGTTACAGAAGCATGAAACAGACATAGGGTGACAATTGCACACGTATGTAAACAGACAAGTATATACGGGTTGACCTGTTCCTGTTGCAAAATGTCTGCAAGTTGCAGGGTGGGTCCCATTCATCGCTGAATCTCAGAACGTGCAAGCTGTTAGTGTTAATTTTATTTAGAGGGGCATAGCGCCGCTGTTTTTAAAGATGTTGTACTCACTGCAGAGAACCGCAGTGATAAGACCGCCACACTGATAGCTGGCGACAAAACTGTGCCACTCCCTCCCGCATGGCCTTGTGGGAGCCTCAGTACCAATAAAGTTATTTAATTCTAGTTTTTCTTTCGGATTCCTTTTCATAATGTACACATATGCCATCGGAATGGAATTGGAAGAAAAACTAATGATGTTTCCAGATGTCAACAGAACAAGAAAGGATGAAATGCAATTTCACGACAGCTTAGCTCATTTCTTTGTTCAGACTTTCCAGCAGATGTGTCCTGCTGTCACCGGGGTGGCTACAAGTATGAAAGCATTTCAATTTGTACGGAATTTCAAAGATGTCAAAGCATGCTTTGCTTATTATTAGTTTGATTTAAAGAGCCGCACCCGGTGATTGCAGCTTTCCTGGGTAACAATTCAACTCGAGAATGGATTCTATCTCTCCCTCGTTGTGGTGAGAAAGCAGCAGCGTCTGAACGGCTGAGGTCAAGCGCAAAACACAACCACCGTGTAATCGATATTGGACCAAAAACAGCAGTGCTGAATAATTGCCATGAAAATAGTTGAATGCATATTACACACAGCAGCGGCAACATCGCCACCTACTGCAAAAACTTGACATGACCCTCATGAAAAAGTATTTTAAACTCTTTCTTGGGCAAACAAGCAAAATACATATGAGCCCCAAACATAATTCTTGTTACCTAACACAATTCGTGAGCGGTGCGTGAGCTTTATATCATAATGGACATTATTCGATCGATTCGTTGCTACACCCCTAATTCTAAGATGAGGAAGGAACAGTTTGGTGATGGTTCTATCATGGTGGCATTTTAAAGTTGGTTACACAATGGCAGAAGTGCGTCAGTGCGTACCTGGAATTTTGTGACGAGAAGTGACACTACCAGGATCTGCCGATAACCATTTTCTGCCGATAACCATTTTGAATCTAACATGCTCAGTGGTTGTTTGCTCTCAGAGAGAGATTTAGAGGCCCACAGACGAATGGGGAGGGCAACCATAACTTCTACCAATAATTTCCCAAGCTTTGTGCTCCTATATTGGGATGTTTGTTCAACTCCATTGAGTGTTTACGCATGAGCTGTGTCAGTTACAGTGCCTATCTGTCTTCTGTCAACACACAGACATTTGGTACAGGACTCGTATATACAGGTTTAAAAAAGATTATGAAAATACATACTCTTTGGTTCTTTCGGTAAAGTCACGTAGGTAGAAATAAAATGAAACAAATCACGACGTTTTGATCGCACCACAAGTAATCCTCATCAGGTGGGACAACCACAGCAAGAAATTGCTGAAGTCGGCGGGAGAGCTGCCGTGGCATGAGGTTATATAGGTAAGAAAGGGGGGATGAGGCAAGGGGGGAGAGAGAGGGGGGGGGGATGTTGGGTAGGGGGGGACCGCGTAAGCGCTCGGGGAAGAGGACCTGAGGCTGGGGGGGGGGGAGTGAGCAGGACTAGAAGTGGGAAGCTGGGGAAGAACAGATAAAAATGTGCTAGTAAACTGGCAGGTACGATGGAAACAACAACAACCAGTTAAGGCATTACCTGGTTGATAACATCCTTCAAATGATTGTTTAATTTGTATCCATCTTCTCGGTTGAAGTTTTGTCTGTTTATATATCTGGATGGCTTCATGAACAAACCTTTGATAGTAGCCCGAAGGTTTGCAGAGTACCTTGGTCTCGGAAAAAAACAATATCATGTGAGCACACAGCGTTATAACAATGGCCAGCTACGGCATGTTTCAGATCTGCCTTGTGTTCGCGAACACGGTCCGAGACATGTCGTTTTGTTTCCCCAATGTTACTGCTACCGCAGGTGCAACTCAATTTGTAGACTCCAGGGTATTGCATGTCAGGAATGACCTCCTTCACAGATGGGATTAGATCACGGATTTTGTGTACTGTATTGCATCGTACCTGGATCTTGTGTTTGTTTAAGATTTTGGAAATATTTTTGGTAACACCTGCTATGCATGATAAATTGATGGTTTTGATTGGCTTATCAGGAGATTGTTTCTCCATGGTTGGAGAAACAGCTTTGCGAATAATGCGGTCCGAGTACCATTCATCTTGAGGGCTTGGTGTACGTGTTCCAATTCACTGGCCAGGGTGGTGTTGGTCGGAGATGCAGTGGGCCCTTTGGAAGAGATACGTAGATGACACGTTCGTCATTTGGCCACATGGCTTGCCAGCATTAAACCAATTTCTCAACCACATTAATTCCATACACCCATCCATCAAATTCACCATGGAAGTGGAGAAGGATGGTAAGCTACCATTCCTGGATGTTTTCTTTGAGAGGAGGCCTCACAGCTCGTTTGGACACTCTGTCCACAGGAAAGCCACCCACACAGATTCCTATCTAAAACCTGATTGCCACCACCATCCGGCCCAGAAGAATTCCCTCATCAACGCGTCAGTCTTTTGGAGGAGATATACAGTAGATAATTGATTATCTAGCGGCTTCGGGGGGGGGAAGGTGACACCGGATTTTCAAAAACGCCGGATAATCACGAATCATGATTTAAAATGTGTTTGCACAGTCTTGTATTACATTATGTTTTTAGGTGTTGTGTGTGTGGTTTTTTGTTTTTGAAATGTGTTTACTCTATGAAATTAGCATAAATAAAAATACAAATAGACAAGAATAAATATCCTTATGTAAAAAGTTACTGTATTTACTGTACCGTACTTTCCATTCCAATCTCGAAGACTCTGCATCGGGTGGTGTACGCATTACTACTACGCTCTTGTTTCAACACAACCACGTGTTTGAAGATCATCGGACCGATGCAGTTTTTGGAGAGGTTTTTGCTGGTTTCGCTGGATCGGCATGGGACCGCCGGATAATGTTCGAAACCAGATAATCTCGCGCCAGATAATCGATGGTCAGCTGTATGTGACTAACTTACTGTAGTACTGCAAAACAATTGTGGATACTGTTACCACCATTATACTGGCATGGTATTTCTACTCGTCACTGTTGAGAATAGCATGCCTGTGGGTTTAGTTTTTTTTACTCCATTCGTATTTTTGATTTGTTTTATTTTACAGGTAGAGGAGTCGAGGAAACCGGGTTCTGGCCTAAAAGCTCTCAACAGTCCGAGACGCTGACAGATCGATACGCACACAGAGTGGTACGCACACACACACACACAGCAGTACGCACACACACACACACAGGGTGGTACGCACACAGAATGGTGCGCACACAGAGCGGTACACACACACAGAGCGGTACACACACAAATGCACAGAGCAGTACACACACAAATACACAGAGCGGTGCATACACAAATACACAGAGCGGTGCATACACACACACAGAGCGGTGCACACACACACAGAGCGGTGCACACACACACAGAGCGGTGCACACACACAGAGAGTGGTACACAGAGCAGTACACACACACACAGTGGTACACACACACAGCGGTACGCACACAGAGAGCGATACGCACGCACACAGAGAGCGGTGGGCGCGTGCGCAGGGTGGTGGGCGCGCGCGCAGGGCGGTGGGCGCGCACGCAGGGTGGTGGGCACGCGCGCAGGGCGGTGGGCGCGCACGCAGTGACACAGAGTGGTATGCACACACAGCGGTAAGCAGTCACATGGAGCAGTCTGACGAGGAGCTGGAGCACCCGGCCGAGGAGGATAGCGACCACGATGATGCCGAAGATCTGGACAAGATGTTTGGGAACTGGCTGGGAGAGCTTGACACGCTCACCAAGGTGATGCAATTCCGGTCATCCACATTCTCACATACGCCCTTTGTTAAGAATCCATCTAAACTCGAGGCCAGATGGTCCCACCTTATACAAGACCTGAAGTAAGTTAGCAGGATGCAGGGTTGGGAGACAGGGACCGAGGATAAAGGTGCGTAACCACTGCAGACTAGACGAGCCGGATTCAGAGGGGTGGAAAGATAAGGTTTAGGTCGCCTCTTATGTTTTTCTTATCTTTGTCAGCTGTATTTCGCTTATATCCCTCTTTACCCTTGCTTAAAAAAAGTCACTCTTTCCCCTTTCTGTGGGACCCTGGTATGGTTTGGTGTAGCGAGCACCCGTTCCCCATCTTTCTATCCCCAGCTTTTCATTACCGGTTTCGCTTATGTTGATTGTGTGTACTTGCGTTACAACGTGACGTAATAGGCCCGCACATGAATAAAAATAACTAAATAGTAAATAAACCACCTATAGCAACACTTTTGTTTATTTTTCCAGGTGCGAGGCCCACTGAGGTGTGTAGCTCGTTTTCAGAAGCAACCTCGCTATCACAAATGATAGCTCAATGAAGTGGCTTATCGCGTGGATATGTATAGCAGGCAAATACTCAAAAACGCATGATGTTGATTCTAAATGTGGAGGGAAAACTGAAGGACCTGGAGAAAAATCCACGCAACCACAGGGAGAGTGAGAGAGACACACAAACTCCAAATATGCAGCAGGTGTCAGGGTTAGGATGGAACTCACCATGTAGCATTACACCTATAACGAGGGTATAATCAGTCACCCTTTTTTTAAAGTGCCGTGCTTATTTTTTTTTATTTCCGAGACGTTGACCCCGTGCCTTGTTTGGTTTTTCAGGACTTGGACACGAACAAGGTGCCAGTGGCCAAACTTGCGAAGAATGAATCCAACTTGGCCAACTTCCGATACAGATTTTCAATGCATAACCTCCATGGTAAGTGCTGGTTTGGTATTGTGAATTCTGCAGGTCTGCTTTCACATTGCACTCGCGGAATGGCTGTGTGAATTGTCTAGCAAAGGACGTATCGATTTTTTTTCCCCACGCCAAATCTTTCATCATTGACTCAACGAGCGTTACTGCTGTAATGCAAAGCACAAATTCGGCCCCATGTCTGGGGTGCTGCACCCAGCTCCTAACTCATTGCACTTGATAGAATTGAAAATTGAGCAGTCAAGGTGATTGATGATGCAGCACTCACTGATTCACTCCACTCACTCGCCTACTGGTGGTCAGTCATCTCCTCGTTACTCTTCTATCACTACTACCATGGTTACTGTTTCCGTCAACTTCACTCATTGATTCGTCCACCGATGTCAATGACTTTGCCTACTGGACTGCCTGTTGCATCTCATCCACACTTTTCAAGCACAAACACACTCAGCCGCTCCCTCGCTCACACATTCACTCACTCACCCACTCTACCCTTCAACACACTCACCCACTCAACCCTTCAACACACTCACCCACTCTACCCTTCAACACACTCACCCACTCTACCCTTTAACACACTCACCCACTCAACCCTTCAACACACTCACCCACTCAACCCTTCAACACACTCACCCACTTAACTCTTCAACACACTCACCCACTCTACCCTTCAACACACTCACCCACTCAACCCTTCAACATACTCACCCACTCTACCCTTCAACACACTCACCCACTCTACCCTTAAACACACTCACCCACTCAACCCTTCAACACACTCACCCACTCTACCCTTCAACACTCACACCCACTCAACCCTTCAACACACTCACCCACTCTACCCTTCAACACACTCACCCACTCAACCCTTCAACACACTCAGCCACTCTACCCTTCAACACACTCACCCACTCAACCCTTCAACACACTCAACCCTTCAACACACTCACCCACTCAACCCTTCAACACACTCACCCACTCAGTTCTTCAACACACTCACCCACTCTACCCTTCAACACACTCACCCATTCTACCCTTCAACACACTCACCCACTCTACCCTTCAACACTCTACCCTTCAACACACTCACCCACTCAACCCTTCAACACACTCACCCACTCAACCCTTCAACACACTCACCCACTCTACCCTTCAACACACTCACCCACTCAACCCTTCAACACACTCAACCCTTCAAAACACTCACCCACTCAACCCTTCAACACACTCACCCACTCAACCCTTCAACACACTCAACCCTTCAACACACTCACCCACTCAACTCTTCAACACACTCACCCACTCAGTTCTTCAACACACTCACCCACTCTACCCTTCAACACACTCACCCATTCTACCCTTCAACACACTCACCCACTCTACCCTTCAACACTCTACCCTTCAACACACTCACCCACTCAACCCTTCAACACACTCACCCACTCAACCCTTCAACACACTCACCCACTCTACCCTTCAACACACTCACCCACTCAACCCTTCAACACACTCAACCCTTCAACACACTCACCCACTCAACCCTTCAACACACTCACCCACTCAGTTCTTCAACACACTCACCCACTCAGTTCTTCAACACACTCACCCACTCTACCCTTCAACACACTCACCCACTCTACCCTTCAACACACTCACCCACTCTACCCTTCAACACACTCACCCACTCAACCCTGGTGTGCTCCACTCGTAACTAATTGGTATGTTTTTATTACGGGACAAACCTTACTAATTTGCTCTGTCGGGTAGTGGTGGGTTCAATGACGCATTGAGATTTACACGCTCTAAACCCAAACTACCTCTGAAGAATAGCTTGGGACATTTGTTTACTTGACAACTTATGTTTTTTGGCTGTGTAGCATTGAGCAGGCAGTGCGACACACATAGGCACCGCGCTCGCACAATTGGCCCAATGGTCAATCATAAGTCATATCACTGGTTATGAAAATAAATCTGTGTTTAAAAAAAACAGATTCGTGTTGACGCACTCCCCTTGCGTGTCCTCTCCAGAGGCATTGAACCAGGGAGAGGAAGTGGACCTCGACGCTCTGATGGCTGACCTGTGCTCCATGGGTCAGGAGCTGGAAAACATCACCAAAGAGCCCTCGCAGCCTGCGGCTCCTCCTAAGCCTCCTGCGGCGCCGGAGCCGGTCAGGGCTATCCCTGCACCCGTAGCAGCGGGTGTGTGGGTCAAGCCGGCTTCAGTGAAGTCTCACGCCAAGGTGAACGCCTGCGACCAAGCACAGCTATCGCTGGAGGAGTTGACGGCGCAGCTGGAGCAGGCTTCCCTCAGCATCGAGGAGGCCGCTGCGTCTGTAGCTGCCCAGCCGGCAGTCCTACACCCTCCTCAGCAGCAGCAGCCTGCCCCCACGGACAGAGTCGCCCAGGAGTCCAAATCGGGCGACGTCAGCTCCGACTCGACATCGTCTCGCTCCAGCCTCGCCTCGCTTGCCTCCAGCCAGGACTCGGAGCGGTCGCGCTCACGCGAGTCCGACCTTTCCCAGCAGGCCTCCACGACGACGCCTGTCAATGAGGTAACGGCACAACGCCGCCCAGCAGCGCGGCGCTTCGGCTCCCTCCCGCTTCCTCGGTGCCGTGCTCAAGATGCTGGGTGCAATACGAAGCAAATACGTCGCATCTCTAATGATCGCTGTGGTTTGGTTGTGAGGATTGTTTTCCAACTTGCCAGCGGGTGCGCCGTAATGGTCGTAATTGGTGCGTCGTTAAACCGCTTGTGCACGTGACCGTTAAATTGGTTTGGCTGCATCTGATGGTTTAAACTGTGCTTGACGATTACATGGCCGAACCCACAATTTTTTTAATCGCTTAAAATGTGTTTACTTTTTGCCATTTTCCTCATCAACAGCTGCAATGTTCAAAAGTTGATGTGTTTTTATTGAGCTGGGGACTGGGAGAGGAACAGCTGTTGTCAACCACCAACAATCACACCAGCTCAGAGGACATTCAGATGAACCGAGTTGCGCAATACAATGCGGCATCATAAGGTGACGTTTAACGTTGGGGAAGCAATCTCTGTCTACGTAGAGACATAAAGAATGGGTGCCAGGCAAATTATTGACCTTTGTTTAAATGCATCAACAAGGAAGTCCCAAGATTAACAATCAGGTCCAGACACAGATATTGCATCAGAATCAGAATCTTTATTTATACTGGAGCGATGCTTTGTCTATATACACATCAGGTAAGTGCGGTGAGCTTAAACAGTATAGCATGGGATATTGGTAGCATCAAACACTGGATAAACTGGTAAGAATATGATGATGGAGAAATTGCACTCTTGGTCAAGTGGCCAGAGAGATGAGCAGGATCAAGTCAGAAGTCTTCTTCTCATTCGGAAGAGAAGGCAGAAGGGTGTTTCCAAATTTCTAGCATTTTAGTCAGGATGTGGTTTGGGCCTTGTGATGCAGAAGTAGTTGAAGCCTGTGCCCCCAACAAATGCCTCAGAAGAGGATGTTGACTGGTGCCTTTCATGATCGTGAGCAACCAAATAAATCTCGGGCACAGCCACTTGTGCAGCAATGTGTGTCTCATGTGGGGTCTAAAGCCATAATGTTGCCGTGATTGTTCTTACTTCTGTTGTAGGTTCTGCTGGGTGCTGGTTTTCAACCTTGTTTGCTTGCATACTCCAAGTGTTAAAGCCCCTCTGCATTCTTAGTTAAATGATAACAATGATATCATTGCATTGGTTATCAAAATGGTTTATTTCCACCGAGCATCACCAAAAGCAAGAGCAATATTTATTATTGAGCAGCCACATGGCCCAGTGTAAGGGCAATTACCGTTGCAGACGTTCATGGTGTTGCAATCCAGCGACCCCCCCTGTTGAATACTACAGTGAATATTGACCATAATGCACGCCAGCTGGTTCACAGTGGACGTTAACGATCTTGCAACGTTCCATTGTGTGCTGGCGTCACCACTCAAATTTTCCAGAGTAAAAAAAAATACCTGATAATTACTTAATTGAAATGTAAACAGCAGTATGTACGTATGTACATTCAACTTATTTTGCACATCACACGTAGCCAACCGTGCTAATCAAGGTGTGAACATTTGGCAGGACCCTCTTGAAAAGGAATCGTGAGACTTAGTGAGGCTTTCCTGGGTAAAAAACAATAAACAATAAATAAATATTCACCCTTGCTATCGTGCTGGTGTTACCGTGAAGCGACGTCACCTCTCGGTTAAACGGTGTCACTCGGTGTAACGCGTTAAAAGCCGGCCGGTTAGTGGTGGTGCTTAGTGGTTGGTAGTGGTGGTTGGTGGTGGTGCTGGTGGTGGTGGACGGAGCTCGCTGGGTTGAGAATGCTGTTGCGCGTGGACGGGATACCCTGCATGCCGTGGCTGATAACGTGAAGCCTCTTTGCCCATTGTGCACCCCTTCGCTTTGCCTTCTCTTCCTCTCGTGTTTCACGCACACCCAAGCACCCGTACCTGGATAGGAGGACTTCAGTGCTTGTGCGAAACCTGGCGGGAAAACCCAACCACTTGTTGACACAGGTGACTGCTGATCCCAGTTGCGCCCCCCATTGGTGTTGCATGATTTTGCCACTCGCCCACCACCTCTGTCTATGCTTTACTAACTTTCCTTTACAAAAAAAGTATTAACAAACGCCAACACGAACACGATTGTATACTTGCACATGCTCTGTCTTGTCACTGCTTCGTGACGTGCACTCAATGGCCCTGTTCAATTGCTGCATTTGTGTGTAGAGATTATTGATTCATTCGTGCAGTCCCCTGGCCTGGATGAAACAAAAACATTAATAATGCTAAAACATTTTAATCCAGATAATATATCTATGTATTGTTTACCTATGTACGTATTGTTTATCTGGTTTGTTTGTTTGTTTTTATCCAGGGCAGCAGATAGTGGATTTTTGGTTGACTAAGCAAATAGTTAAAATGCCTGTAGCATAAAATGAGTTCATATTATAAGGTTGCACTCATTATACCACACAAAGTACTTGCCACAAATGAACCACAAAACCTTTCTGATTTCGTCAAGGATCATAAACCCTCGTGCAAACTTCGATCATCTTCGCAGCAGCTTTTGGCTAATCATCGAACAAAGATGGCCACTGCATCGCTCGCTTTCAGATGCACTTCTGCAGCCGTCTGAAACGCTCCTCCGATATTAGGAAGCCACTGGGGCTATGCACTATATTACATCTAAATTGAAAACTAATTTCTTTAGAATTTTCTTTTTGTGTTTAGTTTGTTGCCCTTCCCCCGTACCTCTGATTAACACGGTTGGCTATGTACGGTGTGAAAGTAATTAAACATACATTCAGTTTGGACATTTTGCCTGTTGTGGCTTAATTCATTTGTGCGGCTATTAATTAAAATTATTAAACGAAAACTGAAATATACTCTAAGAAATGTGGAGATATCTATAGAGGAGAACACATGGCATAGAAAGCATCCGCAGGTTAATGACATCCACACTTTAATAAAAAGGTAAGTGTGTTTGGCAGGACACTGCCCTAGAAGGTATGATGGCCAATCGTCAAGCATTATCATCTCGCCACTGAGGAGATGGAGTGCTGAAATCTCATCATGTGTGTACAATGCCCAAGTATCCTTAGCACAATGGTTTCCGCACCATTTTGGCTAATATTGTTCAATGTAAAATATTGATGAAAATACATTTTGTGAGAAATGTACATGTAAACATTCGACACTATATTTGAAATGCACAAACCTGTTGTTTTGGGGTAGTCTCATGGCCTAGTGGGAGCACATTTGCTCCCACACACGTTCAGAGCGGCATTGCAGTGGTTGCCCTGTTCATTACTGGAGGTGTATCAACCATAACATGCACGCCATCTGCTTCACACAGGGATATGAAATTTACCACGTTAAATGTCCCATAATTCTAGATTTGAAGCTTTCGTGACTGCACGGATTCATACTCTTTGTTTTTTTCGATAAAGTCACGTAGGTAGAAAAATCAATAAAATAAATGAAAACAACTAAATTAAATCACGATGTTTCGGGTGCAACACAAGCGTCCGTCATCATGTCATTTGTCAAGAGTAGGCCATTGTGTGCCTGTGTCATGGTCTAAATTTGCCAAATAAAAAAACATTTTATCTATGGGACATTATTTGGGAGTATCAAAAATGTTGAAAAATAGTAATAAGTTTTACCCCTTTCTGGCAATACAACAGGTGTTAATAGGTTCAAACACCAAGTCAAGTAGATTCCTTTTGCAAGGTATCAAGTCTGCAGTAACCACATGTACTTGTGGCAAAAAAATACTTTCTAAATAACTAATTTCGGTGTTACAGCGGCTACTCTACTTACGAACATTTGACTTATGAACTTTCAGAGATACGCGCAAATCTGTCCGTATGTCCAATTGCCTGTTCGGATCGCGAGTCGTAAATTAAACCGCTGCGCAATAGATGGCGGTGGTGGCATCTACATCTGCAGAACATGAAGAACCATTGGCATCTTCATCTACAGGAGAGTACACAACTTTTAAAGCCATTTCCCATGTTTAGTGTACACGCCTACAACATGTTTAGAATTGACAGGAGTAAAGTTGGAGTTGTGAACAAATCGACTTAAGGACAGACCAGGAATCTTAACTCGTTCGTAAGTAGAGGAGTCCCTGTACACAGCAAACTATCGCCCCCTATTGGCAGACCACGGAGCTTGGGCTAATTGTTGGTACTAGTTTCTGGCTGCCTACCCATTTGTACTTTCCCATGCCTCTTGTTAGAAAGCTGAGCTCGCCAAAACGTGTTCAGCGTTGTGAGATTGTAATTTGCATGTTGTAAATAAATAACTAATTGCATTGCCATTTTATTGCAACATTGCACAAGCCAATCAAAGTTGCCGTTGGCAAGTCGAATTATATAATTAATTATATATTGTAGGTTATAGTGGGATTTGATCATCCAAAACAAAAGGAAGCTCTCTACACTGCTACCACTTGTAAATACATGGGTAAGACCTCTGTGAGTACGGCTGTTCACTCAAAACCAAAATAAAACTGCCAATGGAATCCTATAATTTTTTGGTTCTTCCTCTTGGACGTGTTTTCCCTCGTTTAGCTGCCATTCTGTCTCCAGCGTTGTCCATTGGCCATCATTTTAGTGACGTGTCCTGTCCATGCACACTTCTTAGCAGTCAACGTAACGAGTTTGTCCTCTGATCTATGAGTTGTCTCTCGGTGCAGTTCCCAACTTGCACATTCCATACTTGTTTGTGTACTTTTAACTTTTGTTTGTCATTGGCCAGGTTCTGTCCCAGGTGTCATAGTCACCAATATGCACAGATTGACAACTTTTATCATAATAAACATTGTCGTGTTGCTTTTCATTATCAAATAAATGTTTCTAAATAATTTTAACCTCTCTCTTCAGTTATAACCCACGATGCGTTCTCTGTTATGAAGATTACTACAAAACTATGAATGGTCGTATTTACGCTGTTGTATTGATGGAAGGCTGTGAGCAGTCGTATGTATGTTAAACTTCTTTTATACAATATGTAGCCAACCATGCTTATTGGAGGTGCGGGGGAAGGACAACAAAAACAACATGCAAAAACAACAAAATGATCAAATTCTTATACGTATATTTAAACTTCTAAGACTTTGTTAACAGACCCCTTCCTGGTTGACTAACGTTGTCACAGAAGGGAAGTTGCCTAGTGTAAACGAATGTGGTATTGGATTGTCCTTTTTTGTAGGAGGAACAGGAAGCCAAACTCAAAGCTGAGAAGATCAAAATGGCTCTAGAGAAAATCAAGGAGGCTCAAATCAAAAAGGTACGCGTGTGCTTACAATTTTATAGTGGTGTGCTTATATTCTAACAGTGGAGTGTGCGTACATTGGCCTATTATATATCTGAGGCTTCATGGTGGAGAACAGTCTCTGAAGATGATATTTCTGCATCCAGGCTGCCACCCACTGGTCACTTGGCTAATATTAACAATTAGCAATGCCCGTTAGGGTCATAGTAGGTGATTCATAGAGTATTGGGGCGAGCACTGTGTCCCCCTCTGCGATCTTCCCATAAGCCTTGCTCTGTTTGCTGCACTTTATTGCGGGCCGCAGTCAAGAGTTTTAGCGGCCAGCTGAAAGTAAAAGTTAATGTTATTTTCACGCACTTGGATATAATCTAATTTAACTTATATTTACACCGCCTTCACTCATGGCGCTCTATAACTTGGAAAACGATGGCAGAATGGAATTAAGTGGTTGACAGGGGTGTACTTGGATTGAGGAATGAGTGCAGCGATAGAGGGGTACTTGGGGTTCACGAAATTTTAGGGGAGGGACGGGAGGAGGGCAAAAGAAGAGAATAGACAATTGAGAAGAGGTGATGCTTTTAGAGAGGTTGAGGGGGACTGCTTAATTGACAAGAGGAAGTTGATTCTGGTGGAGGGGTGCAAGGACTGAGAACCAAAAACGGGATTGGGCACAGGGAGATAGAGGCACAGAGAGCGACAGAGAGATGTCTGGGAAGGAAGAGGACAAGAGGGGAAATGGAAGGAGATGAGAGAGGTGGGATGATGACGTGGGACTAAGCCATCATGCGATTGAAAGAAAAGCGTCAGGGATTTGAAAAGACAGCGTTGTAGTGAATTAGAAGCTGGGGAGTTGAAGCAGGAGAGGCGAGGCGTGATAATTAAAGAGAAGATTGAAAATGAATCTTGCAGAAGCATTTCTATGTTTGTTGGAGGGGAGTGAGGGTAGAGGCAGGGTGACCAAACATAAGAGTTACAGTCATAGTCCAGACAGTTAAAGATCAGAGAATGAAAGAGGAGTTTCGCAGCAGAAATTGAAACCAGAGGGCGGATGTTCCTCCTGTTGAATAGATGAACGTGACAGATTCAAGTAGTGTTGGAGATGTGGGTGTGTAAAGTGTGGGAACGGTCAAAGGTGATGCCAACGTCGAGAGCAGAGGAATTGGGAGTGAGAAAGAGAGTAGGGAAGGAGATGGGTTGGGGGGGAGGAGGAGAGTGAGAGGCAAGAAAGCGAATGATTGATGCTTTGGAAGGATTGGGACGGTAGAGTGAAGCGCCATGCAGGATTGGATGGCAGCCAGATGGGATGTGATAGGAGAGGAAAGGTCATGGATAAATTAAGGAAAGGAGAAGAAGATTGTGGTATCAGCATAGAAATGATGAGGAAAGAAGATTTAACAGATTCAAGAGACAAACTATGCAGATCATAGTAAGGGACCCAGAACAGAACCCGGCAGAACACCGGACACTGAGATGAGAGTGAGGGGAAACGGAGTGATTTAAGGGGACTGAGAATGTGCGAGAGGGAAGGTGAGACTTGAGCCAAGAGAGGGTTGCCAGAAATGCCGAGGTATAAGAGTGTGCGCTACAGTAGTGAGATGTTAACTTCCTCGCCTGGTATACAGGGGGTTGTGGATTTGATCCTGACCCTGATACCTGTATATTTGGAGTTTGCACGTTTTCCCCGTGGTCATGTGGATTTTTCTCCGGGTCCTCTGGTTTTTCCCTTGACGTAATTTTTCCACGTAATAAGGGACTTGGTTAAGTGAACATTGGTGGCCCGGTCACTTCTGAAACAGATCTACATAGCTCAGTAGACATGTAGACCTTACCTGGTAAAATAAAAAAATAGTTTCGTTTTAGAGTGGGGTGATCAACAGTGCCAAAAGTGGAGGAAAGTTCAAGAATAATGATGCATGGCAGAAAGGAATTTGCAAGATGATTCTGTACATTGAGAAGGGCTGTTTCGGTGGAATAAAAAAGGGTGGAAACCAGACTGAAATTAAGGATATAGGGAATGTGAAGACATGCGGTGGGAGAGCCGGTTATGAACAAGGCGTTCAAGAATTGTTGTGAAGTCAAAGAAATAGGGTAATAGTTGCCAGGAATAGTGGGGTTAAGGGAAGGTTTTTTTGAAAAGAAAAATAACGGAAGATTTGAAGTTGGAGGGGGAAGACACCACTGGAGAGGGGGGAATTGAAGAGGGACACGAGGTAGGGAAGGATATGGGGAGGAGGCAAGGAAGAAGGGAGGCAGGAATGGGCTTAAGGGGTGAAGAGATGGGTGAGTTTTGTAAATGGCTGTGGAGAGCTTCGATGAAGATGTTGAGGTGGAGGTGGAGAGAGGGGGTGCAGTGATGCGAGGAGAGGAAAGAGAAGAAGATGGAGCAATGATAGGCAGAATGGACGACTGAATGTGCTCAACCTTAGAGGAGAAATGGTGGGGGAAGGCCAGAGCAGAAGGAGCATTGGGTATTGGGAGGAAACGATCGGGTAGAATAAGAGGGATGGCGCAAGTTGTTGATGGTGGCAAAGAGTTTATGATGGGGAAGGGAGAAAAATGAGAGATAGGACATTGTGCAGTATTGCAGATTCAAGATCTGCAAAAATTTTAGAAAACAGGTTCGGTGCAAGGGTCTGAGCTGAGTGTGGGAGGATTTCCAGCAGCGCTCAGATTTGTGAGTCTGAGGGGGACAGAAATCCATGGATAGGGGGCCACGGACGGGGGGGGGGGGTAAGTGGGGAACGCAGAGCAGCGAGATGGTGCTGGGAGAGGAAGGGAGAATCAACGCAAAGAGTATAAGTGGCAGCGTCATCGTGAAGATAGGAATAGTCGGTAGGAAGGAAGGCTGAGGACTGAAAGGAGATTAGCCAGGAAGGATTGAAAGCACGGAGACTGCGGCAGTGGAAGAAGGGCGGGGAGGGGGGGGCAGATAGAGGTGGGAGGGATGGGTGAATTTGATGGTCAGGGTGAGGAGAAGGTGATAGGATGGGGAGTAGTGATCAGGTATTGTGGTTCATTTGTGGCATGCACTTTCTGTGTAATAGTTCAAAAGAATACATTAATATTAATGTTCACACTGAACCAACCACAATAGTAGCGTATAAAGGTGTGAAGATTCACCGACTCTCTTTGGGACAGTGCTTGTGTGTGCCAGCGGTACCTAATGCTTGCGCCTTACCTGCGGGTTTTAAAATATGGCGTACTTTTCCTTGCACGCCACAAACATGAGCATATTGGGGCTGTCCCGTGTCTAGTTCAGCAGGTTGGCATGGGTGCAACGCAGCGTAGGTGCACCTCTGAAATTGCATCGATTTACGGCCTTGGCGTCAGGGCCCCCTTAGCCTGCTGTGTAGCAGGCGGCGAGTGATTGCGATTACACATTGTAGTCGTAGTAGGCTTTCGAGACCAATATTAGCCATAATGAAGGTTTTTTTTGTTCGAGCCCATACATATAAATGTGTCGTTAAACCCACCACCCGGCACAACCAATTAGTACAGGTTTGTCACGTAAACAAAACGTGCCAATTAGTAACTAGTTCAGTGACAGCCAGAACTGGCTGCTGCCTGACGAGGCTGACTGTTGTACTTACCGGCGAAATGTCACGGTACTCAAATTGTAAATGTTGTCGTGGGTTTACTCTCCAACACACAACTGGTGTGGCTCACTGTACAGACGTCGGGCGTTTTTGACCGACTGCCTGGACGTTGAAACGGTAAGGTTTACCAGCCAGGGTTTTTCAGAAGAGGTGTGCCATCCCTTGGTGTGGACCAATCAGTTTCAAGGACAATGCATATATTATCATAGTATGTTTTTTGTTTGCATTTTGACTGTAGGTATTGTGGTTAATGCAGACATGAATCCTTGTAAAAGGTTTCAGTTTTGTTGTCAGAAAAAAGGGGAAAACCCCTATTATTAGGTGCAGGGTTTTCTGCCGAAATCAAGGAGCGCCTGCTCATGCAAGGTCTACCCTAGCCAGCGGAGGTCAATCTCCTATGAGTGTGTCGGGGCTGGACAGGACCCTCTGCCATGCAGGGCTTACAGTCACTGCCAGCCGGAGTTTGAGAACGCTGGTTGACTCAGTCTATGAATGTACGCCTGTCAGCGATTTCTGCCTTCCCTAAGCATGTCCTCGGTGTCCCAGTAGATTCAGCGGCAGTGCTGGTTAGGCTCTTAAAGCTGGAAAAAACATGTTTTACAGATCATAGCAACAAGTTTGTGAGGTTTGGAGGTCAGGTGCCACTAGAACTCCGAGACTACCTTAATTGAGCGATGGACTATGGCTGATCAGCTTATCGAGGCTATGGGTGGTACCCAACCAGATCTCATCTGTTATGTCTGCATTCAGCTTCAGTCTATTGGATGCCATCCAGAAACTAACATCGAGAACACATTGTTCAAGGGCAATGGCTGATGCCGCTATGCCATCGGGCACACATTAAACGTATAGCTGCTTGTCATCTGCAAATGTGTGTAGGTTAACCCCATGTTTCCCTACACCTCTGTTCTAAATCTGTTTGTTTCTAGCTGGCATACATGTTGTGTGATTGTGACGCTGCATGTTCCGTCTCTTGCTGTGTGCGTGTGTTGGCAGCTGGTGGTTCGCATTCATTTGACGGATAGCAGCTCGAAGACGATGATGGTGGATGAACGTCAGACGGTGCGGCAAGTCCTCGACAGCCTGGCGGAGAAGTCCCACACGGACGGCAGTCCGGACTGGTCCCTGGTCGAAGTCATCCCAGAATTACACATGGGTACACAGCACTCACCGATTCACAACTTCGATCACTCGCTCACAGATGGTCAGTTTACTCTTCATCACTCATCTATCGGTACTACCGTGGTTACTGTTCCCGTGATATTCTCACTCATTCATTCGTTCCACCCACGTTGAGAGCTTTGTCTACCGGACACTGACTGTTTAATCTCATGCAAACTGTGTTCAATCGACCTGGCCCTCAAGACCCATAATCCACCTGACTCTCACACCCGCAGTCCACCTGGCGCTCACGACGCACAATCCACCTGGCGCTCGTGACGCACAATCCACCTGGCGCTCACGACACACAATCCACCTGGCGCTCACGACGCACAATCCACCTGGCGCTCACGACACACAATCCACCTGGCGCTCACGACGCACAATCCACCTGGCGCTCACGACACACAATCCACCTGGCGCTCACGACGCACAAACCACCTGGCGCTCACGACGCACAATCCACCTGGCGCTCACGACGCACAATCCACCTGCCACTTGCCGCCTTGACCCGCCTCATTTGCTTGCATTTTAACATCCAAAGTGGAACTATACTTTACGCTTTGGTCTCATTTCCGGCACTAACACACTTGCAGTCGTTTCCCCCATACATTATTATGGGTCTAAAATGCTCACAAGCACACGGAACTAAGGCAGAGCAAGAGAGACCGAGGTGGAGTAAGAATTTAGTTTAGTTTTAGTTTCATTTATTTGGTATAGCCCTGTGAGCCATTCGGCTCTTGAATCGGGTGCAACCGCAACAAACAACAAACAAAAACATGAACAAGAAAACATGTTGAAGTGACTATGTGACTGTGCAAACAGAAAATCCAGGAAAAAAACATCAAAATATTCCTGAAATAGCACCGTAGACTAACGCTGTGTGCAAAAATCCCAGTGGGATGCAAGTCAAACAACAACAACAACCATAAGACAACTAAGATTAAGGCCATCAGTCTAACTCCGTACTACAATAAACAAAAACATGGCCAAAACAAAAAACGTTTTCGAAATCACCAAAATAATGCCACAAATGCAATGTAATAGTGATCATAGGGACTGTGACCGAATGTTTTACAATAAACTACATAAATAACATGTAACACCAAACCCTAGAGCCATAGCTGGCTGCATGAGTCAGTCCACAACAACAGGAGCATCAGTCGGAGTATCATATTTTTCAATGCACCTTTAAGATCAGCAAACTAAATCAAAATACAGATAATACTTTGCAGCGGTCATCCGGAGCGAAACATTTTATTTTATTTTAGGCCACTGAATAGCAGTGGCAGCTAGGGGTGTACAACTCCTCTAGAGCAGTTTTGAGTGAAGGTCTCATAGGTAGTGATTCAAGTTGCAGTTTATTGGCAATAGCATTCCAAACCCTGGGGGCATCAATAGCAAAGGCCCTTCCTCCGGTTTTTGTACGGAAATAGGGAATGTGAAGCTGGTAAATGAGCGAAGACCTGAGGTCAAATTTGTTCTTTGAAACAGAGAGGAGATCTAGCAGGTAGTCTGCGGATTTTTTTGTAAGTACATCATGAATAAATAAGATCTGGTGCACAAGCCGTCGAACATTAAGATATGTTAAGTTTGACCCAATGTAGAGATCACAGTGGTGAGTCCTATATGGGCAGTTCAATGCAAATCTTAAGGCCGAGTGATAGATGGAATCATGCTTCTTCAGTACATTACTTGGGGCTGATTTATACACGATATCACAGTAATCAAGTAGAGGCAGTATGGTAGCTTTTATCAATTCCAAACGGAACATAGGGGGGAAGCAGTGCTTGTGTCGATACAGAAACCAATTTTTATTTTTGTCTTTTTACCAATATAATCAATGTGATCTTCAAAATTCAGTTTTGAATCCAGGATGACCCCAAGATACTTATAGATCTTGACATGCCCTATTTGATAATTATTTAAGGAATGTAATTGGGGAAAAATAACTTCCTGCTTTAGTCCCGGTGAGAAGCATAGCACCTTGGTTTTGGAGGTATTCAGGACTAGTTTAAGAGCAACTAGCTGATGTTGTAGTTTGTTGAAATCATCCTGGAGCTTAGCAATCACGTCATCCGGAGAGCAGCCAGCAGTAATCAGTATCGTGTCATCTGCAAAAAGATTTACCCTGAAATGATCCAGGTCAGTGCCCAAGTCATTGACATAAAGAGAGAACAAGAGGAGGCCGAGGATGGAACCCTGTGGAACCCCTTTTGTTATCTTAACACTTGACCTGCAACCATCTGTGAATGCAGTTTGGGTGCGAGAAAAGAGGCAATTTTTAAACTATTTATTGTGTTTTCGGAAAAACCGAGGCAACTTAGTTTACTAAGCAGGGTGTTCATCTTCTTTGGTTCTTTCGGTAAAGTCACGTAGAATGAGAATAAAATAATAAATTGATAAAATAAAATGACACAATAAAATTCTCACGACGTTTCGGCCACAACACAAGCGGCCTTCATCAGGTGAAGGGACGAGACTGTCTGGAGGACAGCGCTGGAGCGAAAACGCCGCGCTCAGATCGCGACCTTTAAGCTGTGTGAGAAGAAACAAAGCGCCTTGACAAAGGAATTAGCATAGAATTTAGCATTAAATAGCTGAGTTATTAGCTTGTGACTGGTCACAGAAATGGCTATGTTAAAGTTAAAGCATACACATCCACAGAGGCACCCCTTGACAAAGGAATTAGCATAGAATTTAGCATTGAAATAGCTGAATGATTAGCTTGTGACTGGTCACAGAAATAGCTATGTTAAAGTCAGAGCATACACATTCACAGAGGCACCTAGTACAAATCAAACAGGAGAATTTAGCATTGAAATAACTAGGAGAATTTAGCATTGAAATAACTCGGAACAGAGGAGGGGGAGAGAGACAGCTGCGAGGCACTGTTATACTCCATGTTGTAAAAGAGCTGCGGTTTGAAGGTCATCGTAAAATACAATTAATTAAGAACGGAAATGGTTTAAAACAACTTTCCAATGATTTAAAGCTTTCGTGACTGCAGTAATTCATATTCTTAGTTTTTTCGGTAAAGTCACGTTCAACGTGACTTTACCGAAAAAACTAAGAATATAACTTTCCAATGGTTACTAAGCCAGAATCCATCTTCTCGGTTGAAATTGTCTCTGTGCTTGTATATGTGAATGGCCTCATGAACGAATCTCTCATGGTAGCCAGTTGGTTTGCAAAGAACCTCCGTCTTGGAGAAGTCAATGTCATGTGAGCCCACTGAATTATAACAGTGATCTGCCACAGCAGAGGCGTTCGTTCTACCGTGTTTCAAGTCTGCTTTATGTTCGCGGATGCGGTCCAAGATATGTCGTTTGGTTTCTCCAATGTAGCTACTACCACAGAGGCACTTTAGTTTGTAAAAGCCTGAGTACTGTATGTCTGGAATAGCATCTTTTACAGATGGAACTAGTTCACGGATTTTATGTACTGTGTTGAATCGGACCTGGATCTTGTGTTTATTCAGGATTTTGGAGATCTTTTTAGTGACCCCTGCAATGTAGGGTAAGGTGATGGTTTTTAGTGGCTCCACAAGAGGATCCTTCTTCATGACTGGAGTGATGGCTTTGCAGATTGTGTAGTCGGAGTAACCATTAGCCCTGAGAGCCTGGTGTACTTGCTTGAGTTCACTGGTAATGTGTTCCTGGTCGGAAATGCATTGGGCTCTATGGTATAGAGTCTTGATGAGGGAGTTATTCTGGGATGGATGGTGGTGGGAATCTGGTTTCAAGTAAGCATCTGTATGGGTAGCTTTCCTGTAGACAGTGGCTCATTGAACCATCATGTCTCCTTTTAATTAAGACATCCAAAAAGGGTAGTTTGCCATCTTTTTCGACCTCCATGGTAAATCTGATGGCTGGGTGTATGGAATTGATGTGGTCGCGGAATTGGTCTAGTGCAGGCTGGCCATGTGGCCAGATGACAAAGGTGTCATCTACGTACCTCTTCCATAAGGTCGGGCGTAGAGTGGCAGTCTGGCCATTCCAGGTGACGCCATCCAGACTGCCACTCTACGCCCGACCTTATGGAAGAGGTACGTAGATGACACCTTTGTCATCTGGCCACATGGCCAGCCTGCTCTAGACCAATTCCGCGACCACATCAATTCCATACACCCAGCCATCAGATTTACCATGGAGGTTGAAAAAGATGGCAAACTACCCTTTTTGGATGTCTTAATTAAAAGGAGATATGATGGTTCAATGAGCCACTCTGTCTACAGGAAAGCTACCCATACAAATGCTCACTTGAAACCAGATTCCCACCACCATCCATCCCAAAATAACTCCCTCATCAAGACTCTATACCATAGGGCCCAATGCATTTCCGACCAGGAACACATTACCAGTGAACTCAAGCAAGTACACCAGGCTCTCAGGGCTAATGGTTACTCCGACTACACAATCCGCAAAGCCATCACTCCAGTCATGAAGAAGGATCTTCTTGTGGAGCCACTCAAAACCACCACCTTACCCTACATTGCAGGGGTCACTAAAAAGATCTCCAAAATCCTGAATAAACACAAGATCCAGGTCCGATTCAACACAGTACATAAAGTCCGTGATCTAGTTCCATCTGTAAAAGATGCTGTTCCAGACATACAGTACCCGGGCGTTTACAAACTAAAGTGCCTCTGTGGTAGTAGCTACATTGGAGAAACCAAACGACATATCTCGGACCGCATCCGCGAACACAAAGCAGACTTGAAACATGGTAGAACGAACTCCTCTGCCGTGGCAGATCACTGTTATAATTCAGTGGGCTCACATGACATTGACTTCTCCAAGACGGAGGTTCTTTGCAAACCAACCGGCTACCATGAGAGATTCGTTCATGAGGCCATTCACATATACAAGCACAGAGACAATTTCAACCGAGAAGATGGATTATGGCTTAGTAACCATTGGAAAGATGTTTTAAACCATTTCCGTTCTTAATTAACTGGATTTTACGATGACCTTCAGACCGCAGCTCTTTTACAACATGGAGTATAACAGTGCCTCGCAGCTGTCTCTCTCCCCCTCCTCTGTTCTGAGTTATTTCAATGCTAAATTCTCCTAGTTATATTTGTACTAGGTGCCTCTGTGAATGTGTATGCTCTGACTTTAACATAGCTATTTCTGTGACCAGTCACAAGCTAATCACTCAGCTATTTCAATGCTAAATGCTATGCTTATTCCTTTGTCAAGGGGTGCCTCTGTGGATGTGTATGTTTTAACTTTAACATAGCCATTTCTGTGACCAGTCACAAGCTAATCACTCAGCTATTTCAATGCTAAATTCTATGCTAATTCCTTTGTCAAGGCGCTTTGTTTCTTCTCACACAGCTTAAAGGTCGCGATCTGAGCATGGCTGTTTCACTCCAGCGCTGTCCTCCAGACAGTCTCGTCTCTTCACCTGATGAAGGCCGCTTGTGTTGTGGCCGAAACGTCGTGAGAATTTTATTGTGTTATTTTATTTTATCAATTTATTATTTTATTCTCATTCTACGTGACTTTACCGAAAGAACCAAAGAAGATGAATCCTTGCAGTCACGAGAGCTTTAAATCGAAATTTAAGCAGGGTGTTGTGGTCTACTGTATCAAAAGCTTTGGACAGGTCTTGAAAAAGACAAGCACAGTACTGCTTATTATCAAGGCTACTGTAAATTTGATTCAGAGAGTCTAATGCAGCAGATGTGGTGCTGTATTTTTTTCGGAACCCAGATTGTTTTAGATGTAGACCTTCCCTGTGGAAGAGATATGTGGATGACACTTTCATCATTTGGCCACATGGCCTCCCAGCTCTGAACCTTTTCCTACACCACATCAATTCCAGACATCCCGCCATCAAAATTACCACGGAAGTGGAGAAATATGGCAAGCTACCATTCTTAGATGTTCTGTTTGAGATGAGACCTGATGGCTCATTGGGGCATTCTGTCTACAGGAAACCCACCCACACAGATTCCTACTTGAAACTTGATTCCCACCACCACCCAGCCCAAAATAATTCTCTCATCAAAACTTTATACCATAGGGCTCATTGCATTTCGGACCAATACCACCTGACCAGTGAATTAAAACACGTACACCTGGCCCTCAATAGGAATGGATACTCTAACCGTACCATCCGCCAAGCTGTTTCTCCCTCCATACAGAAACAACCACTTGATACTCCGGTCAAAACCATCACACTACCATATATAGCAGGCGTTACTAAAAAGATTTCCAAAATTCTAAACAAACACAAGATCCAGGTCCGGTTCAATACAGTACACAAAATTCGTGAACTGATCCCATCCGTGAAGGATGTCATTCCTGACTTACAGTACCCCGGGGTTTACAAATTGAGTTGTACCTGTGGTGATTGCTATATCGGGGAGACAAAGCGACATGTCTCTGACCGAATTCGCGAGCACAAATCAGATTTGAAACACGGCAGAACTAATTCTTCTGCCGTAGCTGATCACTGTTACAATGCTGTGGGTGATCACGATATAAATTTCTCCGATACCAAGGTTCTTTGCAAACCCACGGGTTTTTATCAGAGATTTGTTCACGAGGCAATTCAGATCTACAAACAAAGACAATTTCAACCGAGAAGATGGTTTCAAATTAAGCAACCATTGGAAAGATGTTCTAAATCGAACCAAACATTAAACTAATTTTCAATGGTACAGTATATTTTTCAAGTAGTGGTACCCCAAACTTTCGCAGCTCTTAAAAATGCCCTTTTCACACCATCAATAGGTAAACTCCTCCTTCCCCCCCCCTCGCGCCAACCGGCATGTGCACCCGCATGTACAGCACCTCTACACCGTTCATCATGCTAAGTCGGCCAATCAAATGCTAATTTTTATGCTAATTCCTTTGTCAAGGCACCTTGTTTCCTCGCACACAGCTTAAAGGTCGCGGTCTGAGCGTAGCTGTGTTTCACTCCAGTGCTGTCCTTGAGACAGCCTGGTCCCTTCACCTGATGAAGGCCGCTTGTGTTGTGGCCGAAACGTCGTGATTTTTGTTGTTTTATTTTTTTACCTACGTGACTTTACCGAATAGAACCAAAGAGTATGGATTCTTGCAGTCATGAAAGCTTTAAATCTAGAATTGAATGTAGTAGATTGTTTGGTGGACAGGAAACTGCTAATTTGGTCGTTCAATAATTTTTCAAAAATTTTCATCAATGGGGACCAAATTGAGATAGGTCGGTGGTTATTGGGATCATCTTTAGGGCCCCTTTATGAAGTGGACGGACATAGGAATGTTTCCATTCTCGAGGAACTGATGCTTCTTTGAATGACGGCGGGCAGGGCGTGTCTTCTTAAAAACTGGCGAGCACTGCGTGGCTCGAGCTTATACCGTGATAACATTGAATAATACATTCTTAAAAGAAAAAAAATCGACGTAAAAAATATAATTGTGACCATGAATCATGATAATCTAATCGTGGGGGGAGTGGGGTGCGGTTTGGCTCAGAGCATATGTCGCTCTCATTGGCTGACCAAATGTAAACAAAGATCAGTTTGACACGTAGGCTTTCGCGACCAATATTTTTTATTGTAAATTTTGGGTTATATCGACACGTGTCAGAACCTGTCACCACCCGACACAGCCAATTAGTAATGTTTGTCACAAACAAAACGTGACAATTATTTACTAGTTGAGCACACCGGTGTTTTGGAGAGTAAACCCACAACATTTACAATTTTAGTACGACATTTCGCTTGTAATTACATCCAGCATCATGGGAGATTTTGCCAGACTTGAGCATAAGCCTCCATGGTACTCCAAGAAACAGCTCAAATCCTGTCCATTGTGGGATATACACGGGGATATTCCAAGGCCCATATTGTTTACAAATGTCTTCAGCGATGTGGCGATACTCTAAATATAACAATACGAGGTTGTTGGGGGGTGCCTGCGTCGCCCCCCAACAACCTAGTATTTATCATAGAAAGATAGATGAAATTGTGCGCTTACCAACGTAATGGAACGTCTGTCCCTGCGACTTGTTGATTGTGATAGCGTATGCGGGGAGAATGGGAAATTGTCATCGTCGCAAAACAAATGGCAAAGTCGTGTCAGTGGGGGCCAAGTCGATTCTGGGAATCAATTCCGAATCGCCTCATTCTCTCTCTCTCAAGCGTTCATCATATTCATCATAGACAAATAGAGAGTTTTTATATATAAATAGCATTTTACATCTGGAAGACTTCATTGAAAACGAAATTTCGTGTGAATTTTCTCTCGTCGTTAAGTACCGTATTTTCCCGCATATAGCCCGCATACGCATATAACCCGCAGACGCCTATACCCCGCAAAAATAGTGTTTTCTGTAAAACTAATTTCAGATAGCCCGCACCTCCATATACCCCGCATGCATTCATATATTTAACGTTGTTACCGCAGCTTAATTCCATCATATTAATACGAAGTTTACATTTGTAATACATTCCACTATCAATTGTTAACATTAAAAACATAACGTGCACAAAGAAAACAAATTAACTGGAAACGAGTGAACTTAAAACGGTAAATGTCCAATAAATAACACATAACTGGTAGATAAGTACAGTTTTAGCACTGGTAGATTGCACACTGCGCAAATAGGAGCACTCCGGTAACTCCATTGCCCCCCCACCTCTCTCTCCCCCCAGCTGCCCCACCCCCCACCTCTATCTCCACCCAGCTCTCCCATCGCCAGTAAACAGTGCTCGCACTTCAAACATTGTCGTTTAATTGTACAAACAATTTATTTAAAACGTGATAACGTGCAATTTTAGTGTGAGTGGTTTATTCAGCAGTGCTTTAGTCAAAGGTAAGTGTTGCATAGTGGATAGTCCTACCATGAAAACATTTAAACGAGTCAACATGTCACACGTGTAAAATATTTTTGGGATAGCCCGTACCTCCATATACCCCGCAGGGTCTTGCTTTGTTTGTAAAAAGTGGTATACCCCGCAGGTTATATGCGGAAAATACGGTAGATGTCCTTTCTGGGGGTTCGGTTCGATGCGGACTTTCACATGTTTGGGATTGCGGGATCGAGATAAGGCGACATAGCACTGGCCAAGCGAGAAGACCGCCGTCTGCAGATCGATTCCAATGTAATCGAACGTCTGTCCCTGCGCCTCCGTCGTTCATGCAGGGGGCGCATAGGTTTGCAGCGCCCCCTGCATGAAAACGACGGTAAGTGCAGCGTTCATCATATTCATCCCAGATAAATGTGGCCGTTTATATGATTAATTGCAAGACATTCCCAAAAATATATTTAGAGTCGATGACAAAACAATGTGCACACAGGCACCCGTAAATGCATGCACACAAATAACGTTACCAGTACGTTGTGTTGCATCGTTAATGAGCCAGATATTTCACTTATTAGTGCCAACTGAGGTGGCTGTAACTGTCTGGCCAACAGAAGTAAATTACGCGACAACCATTTGAAATGAGCAGCTTATCAAATAATTTACTCTTAGCATCACAATACATTGGTATGACCAAAAACGTTGCTGCTACTGGGTGGTACTGATTTCCGCTGTGGTTCTTTGGACTGCTGTGCTGCTTTGCAGAGCGCTTTTTTGAAGACAGCGAGAACCTGGTGGAGAACCTGCTGAACTGGACACGGGACAGTCCCAATATGCTCATGTTTGTGGCGCGCAAGGAAAAGTACGCCATATTTAAAAACCCGCAGGTAAGGCGCAAGCATTAGGTACCACTGGCACACACATGCATTGTGTCCCAAAGAGAGTCGGTGAATCTACACACCTTTATACGCCACTATTGTGCTGGTTCAGTGTGAACATGAATCTTTCCTTTTGAAATATTATATGGCAGAAATATGCTGATGATACACAATTGTACATCGCAGTGAAGTCAAAGTTAGGTATGGAGAGCCTCTGTAACCTCGAAGATCACACGCAAGCGGTGCATGTGTAGTTTGCACGAAACGAAATGCTGCGCTCAGGCAAAAACATTTGTGGGAGGATCAGGTGTGGCGGTCATAGACTCCAGGATTCAGTTTTCTACTCCTCTAAAGAGCCTCGGCACCATACTCTCCCAGAATGTCGTTTGATCACCACGTGCAAAATATAGTTAGGTCCTGCAAATTTCATATCGGGACTTTACAACACGTTCCATCACTATTGAGTCATGACATAGACAACACGGTGGTGTGTAGCGTAGTATCGACAAGGCTCGGTTATTGTCACTACTCTACGGGACGTCTGGCAAAACATTACCAAGCTTGTAGCATGTATAAAAATCTTTGGCACGTGTCGTGATGGTAGTGCTCATCGAGCTGCATTGGCTTCCAGTTGCCGAACAAATACATTATAAGATCGCACTCATTACACACAAAGTGCTTGCCACAAATGAACCACAATACCTTGCTGATCTCGTCAAGGAGCATAAACCATCACGCGAACTCCGATAATGCTCGCAGCAGCTTTTGGATAACCATCGCTTGCTTTCAGATGCACTTCTGCCGCTGTCTGGAACGCTCTTTTTCCGATATTAGGAAGCCACTGGAGCTATGCACTCTTCATTCTACGTTGAAAACTCATTTATTTAGAACTGCTTTTTGTGTGTAGTTTGTTGTCCTTCCCCTGCACCTCCAATGAGCACATTTGGCTGTGTATGGTGCGAAAGAAGTTCACCATTCGTGCATTTACATACATCTGTCTGTGCACACAAAATGTTGTTTTAGTCATTCCATTAGTCACACCGGCCTTCTAGGAAATGCGTAATTTTAGGTGCGTTTCAACACCGAATGCCATGTACTTGATGGGATGTGCACCTAACGTGTTTTCATGCGGTGGGACATATATAGGAAGGAGGTAAATTGTCTGATTATTTATTGTGTTGCTTATCTTCTCGACCGCAATGCTTATTGTTGCTGTGTTTAGTGGTCAATTGGATTTAGTGTAATGGGATCGTCGGGCTTGGCCTCACAGCAAATGGGCCATGCTGGACCCCACACGCACGTCCAACCAACTCTCAAATACCAGCTGAGAGCCGGCTTTGAGGGCAAAATGATATCTCACCTTTGATCCATCCAGAGTGGTATAGGATATATTTATTTTTTGTCAGCAGGGGGCACAGTGACAATACTCATGCCTCACATAAAGAAGGGCATTGATTTAATTTATGAACTCGGACCCTTTCTGTGTGGAGTTTGTATAAACTAAACGATAAAAAGATTTTTTATTTTACCAGTTAGGGCTCGCTAAGCTATGTAGCTCTTTTTCAGAAGCAACCTAGGCCACAATTGATAGCTCAATGAAGTGGCTTATCACGTGGAAATTTATTGCAACCAAATACTCTGAACGTACATTGTTTCAACATTTGAAGGGAAGACCTGAAGAAAAATCCATGCGACCACGGAGAGAACATGCAAACTCCAAATATACAGGCGTTGGGGTCTGAATAGAACCTCTTGCATACCAGGCGAGGGAGTTAACATCTAGCCACTGTGGCGCCCCTGTATATTCAACTCCTGTTCGGCACGGGTTTCCTCTGGGTTCTCTGATTTCTTGTGAGAGTAAAAAAATAATCTATCTGGCATTGGCCAAACATTCCAATGCTTAAAAATGACCAGCAATTACTCCATTGGGATTAAGACTCAGCAGAAACATCGCCCCGTTGTTGCAACGAAAACTTGGCGTGATCCTCCTAAAAAATTGTCTTGAGACTCAATGAGGCTTTACTGGCTAAACACGCAACATAATAGCATATAATGAATAACTGATTTCATGCGAGATTTATGATTTTGATGCTTCGCTGCTCTTTATCTAGAACTACCTTCTGGGTACAAATGAAACGAGTGAGATGGCAGATCGCAATAAGGAGGCTCTGCTGGAGGTAAGGTCATCGGACGTGTGCGTGGGCGGTGACGTGGTCCAGCGGCAGCACGTTCACTTCTCGTTGTGGAGCGTTCGCTGCTTGTTGTAGCGTGTTGAGGGCTTCTTTTCAGAAACTATACAATTGTATACAAGATGAAAGTGGCTGAGATAAAGAGGTATTATTGAAAGTCGCGGTGTAGTTGTAGTGACAGGAGAACAGGTGGGAGGGGTTAAGAAGGGGTAGGGAGAGTGATAGTGGTTGGTCTCGTGATACGGATAGGGATAAGCCTGGTCGAAGTTTGGGGGGAGGGAGTAGCAGTAGCAGGATGATGGACTAGGGGAGAAGAGATGGGGGTTGTTTTAAGGGAGGAGTGGAAGCAGGTGAATGAAGATGATTGTTTCATGTGCAGTGGGAGTTGGTTCTATTGAACGGGAGCGAGAAGGGAGAAGGAGCGAGAGAGCGACACTGGGTGCAGGATAGTGAGGGAGGCACAGAGAGGGACGGTAGAGACGGGGAGCGTAGAGGACAGGATGGGATAGAGTAGTGAGAGATGAGAGGTCGGGCAAGACGATGGAGGGATTTATCGACTAGAGTGAGACATTTAAACGGACAGCAATAGTAGACAGGGAGCCAGCTGAGTTAAGAAAGTAGTAAAGCAGAACGGTGACAATTGTATGGCAGGTTAAACTATAAACTATTTTTATTTTACCAGGTAAGGCTAACTGAGCTGTAATAGTTCTTTTTCAGAAGGGACCTGGCCACAAATGATAGGTCATCGAAGTGGCTTATCACGTGGAAATTTAAAGCAGCCAAATACTCTAAACGCATGTTATCATGGAGGGAAAAACTGGAGGACCCAGAGAAAAATCCACGTGATCACGGGGAGAACATGCAAATGCCAAATATACAGGCGTCGGGGTCTGGATCGAACCCACAACCTCCTGTATACCAGGCGAGGGAGTTAATATCTCGCCACTGTGGCGCCACAGGTTAAAATGATCCTGGCTGAGGAATTTTGTATCTGTTGGAGAGGAGCGAAGAAGCTGTAGTCGGCAAGGAAGCCGAGAAGAAGAGTTGCTGTAGATGTGAGGGAAAGTGAGGGAGTGCATCAGGGGTTTAGCAACAGAGTGAGATGAGGGGAAGTGCAAAAAAATGTGTTGCCATGTGGTTGTCCTGTGGACACTCGTACCCACCATAGGAATATGGAATTTGCACTCTGAGCTCAAGCCTATGAAAAAAGATCAGTGCTACTTCGGTCCTGATTTGAGCAGGAAAACACTGCCTTTTGAATTCAAAGTTAATGTTAAATGCTATCCATATTTTTGATAAGGCTCTCAAAAGCAGTGTAAGTAAAAAAACAATGTGAATGCTGAGGTTCTGAATATTTTGTTCCAATTAGATTTTTTTTCTTACATACCTTCAATTTCAATAATTTCAAAACGTGTTTTGACGTCCCATATTGTGTACGGCATTGCATCGTCACTCTCTCTCTGCGCATGCGTCGCGCTGCAGGAGTGTTTCTGTGGCTCCACTGTGACGGTGCCAGAGCTGGAGGGAGTGCTGTACCTGAAGGAGGATGGCAAGAAATCGTGGAAGAAGCGTTACTTCCTTTTGCGAGCATCTGGCATCTACTACGTACCCAAGGGGAAGACCAAGGTTGGTCAGTCAGGAGTTCGGGCGACATTTGTGTTCCGTTCCCCCCACCCCCAAGCCAGCATGGCCGCCTCACGTTTTACGCACGTGTAGTGTATATAACTGAGGTGCGCACACACCGTTCTTGGAGGCAACGCGTTTATTAACAACTTTACTGTATTGTTTTTTTCGGTAAAGTCACGTAGAAGGGAAACAATAAAATAATAAAAATGTAAAACAATAAAATTATCACGACGTTTCGACTGCAACACAAGCAATTATCATCAGGTGTGAAAACCACAGCAAGAAAATTTGAAAAAGTGGTGGTTTTTTTAACGTTAGCACCACGGAGAGCGATTTGGCAGTTATTCAGATGGACGAGTCCATCTATGTTCGGAAAAGAGGAGGGGGGAGACGAAAATAATGGATGCGGTCTGAAAGCCACCGTAAGCGTGAACAATCAATTAAGACCCGAAATGGTTTATCAAATCCTTCCAATGATTGCTAAGCCAGACTCCATCTTCTCGGTTGAAATTGTCTGTGTTTGTATATGTGGATAGCCTCATGAACGAATCCTTCATGGTAGCCAGATGGCTTGCAAAGAACCTTTCTCTTGGAGAAGTCAATGTCATGTGAGCCTACTGAATTATAAGTGATCTGCCACGGCCGAGGTGTTGGCCCTACCGTGTTTTAGGTCTGCTTTGTGTTCACAAATGCGGTCCGAGACATGTCGTTTGGTTTCTCCAATGTAACTACTACCACAGAGTCAACTTAGTTTGTAGACGCCAGGGTACTGTATGTCCGGAATCACATCTTTTACAGACGGAACCAGATCACGGATTTTATGTACTGTATTGAATCGGACCTGGATCTTGTGTTCCTTAAAGATTTTGGGGATCTTTTTTGTGATCGCCGCAATGTAGGGTAAGGTGATGGTTTTGAAAGGCTCCTCAAGAGGGTCCTTCATGGTTGGAGTGATAGCTTTGCGGATTGTGTATTCGGAGTGACCATTAGCCTTAAGAGCTTGGTGTACGTGCTTGAGTTCACTGGCTATGTGTTCCTGGTCGGATATGCATTGGGCTCTATGGTGCAGTCTTGATGAGGGAATTCTTCTGAGATGGATGGTGGTGGGAATCCGGTTTCAGGTAAGCATCCGAGAAGATGGATTCTGGCTTTGCAATCATTGGAAGGATTTGATAAATAATTTTGTGTCTTAATTGATTGTTCACGCTTACGGTGGCTTTCAGACCGCATCCATTATTTTCGTCTCCCCCCTCCTCTTTTCCGAACATAGATGGACTCGTCCATCTGAATAACTGCCAAATCACTCTCCGTGGTGCTAATGTTAAAAAAACCGGCACTTTTTTCAAATTTTCTTGCTGTGGTTTTCACACCTGATGATGATTGCTGTGTTGCAGTCGAAACGTCATGATAATATTATTGTTTTATATTTTTATTATTTTATTGTTTCCCTTCTACGTGACTTTACCGAAAGAACCAAGAATATGAATCCCTGCAGTCACGGAAGCTTTCAATCAAAACTTTATTGTAGACTGGGTTCTCTTACTAGTTAGGCTGCTCACTATGTGGGTGTCTGTTAGTTAGCTGGATCACCAAAACGAACCGCGAATCCCCCTTACGCTCCCCCCTTATCCCTTGGCCCCGGCCCCGCCCCTTACTGTATCAAGGCCACGTGTCCTTACCCATCCAATTGAGACCCCGCTTCAGGTCACGTGCCCTTGAGTCGTCCAATCGGGCCCACTTCCGGTCATGTGCCCCTAGCTCGCCCAATCGAGCACCGCTTCCGGGTACCTGCCCTTAGGTCGCCCAATCGGGTCCATTTACGGACACGTGCCCTTATATCGTGCTACCTGCGGAGGCATCTGTGTCTCTACACACGTTTAACGTAGCGAGATTTTTGAAATAGCGCATTTGATTAATTTACACTTATTTTTGTTGCGCGTGCACTGTTATGGAAATAATGCGCTCCAGCGCATCGGGCCATGGTGTACGGTGAACACGTTGCGAGCTCATCGTTAGTCAGGCAGCAAAGTTCAGTCACGATGCTGCCTGAGGTGCAGTACGGCAACCACAAAGCACGGGCAGCAGCATCAGTCAGTTTCTCACGCACCATTTTTAAGATCTTATCCCGCATGAATATTGTGTTGCATACTTCACTACATGCTACAAATATTTTTGGTTTACTTAATTCTTATTTTCTTAAAATTGGCTGTTGCTATCTTTAATACATGTATGCTTGTGTTGTAAATATGTTACTGTAACCAATGAAATATGTAGACGTGAGAATGGGGTTCGATAGCATGCTTTCCCTAACTGCAAACCATTTCCTTTTTTTCTTATGGGACATTTCTGTTTAATTTATCCGATTTTGAGTTACGCACCATTTTTCAAGAACACAAGCCCCACGTAAAACGAGAGGTAGCCGTAATATGATTCCTCTAAGAGTTTTGGGTTAGGCAGTGTAATGATTTGACTAAACTACAACTGTAAAGATTTTTTATTTACCAAGTAAGGGCCACTGAGCTATATAGCTGTTTTTTTCAGAAGTGACCTGGCTATCCCAAATGATAGCTCAAAGAAGTGGATTATCACGTAGAAATTTACAACAGCCTAAACACTCTAAATACAGTAAAACCTTGGATTGCGAGCATAATTCGTTCCGGAAACGTGTTTATAATTCAAAGCACTCGTATATTAAAGCGAATTTCCCCATAAGAAATAATGGAAACTCAGATGATTCGTTCCACAACCCAAAAATATTCATGTAAAAATGATTAATACAAAATACCTTTATATATTTTATTATTTATTAATTAAATTTAATCGTGGCTGGTGTGAGGGAGACGAGAGGAGAGGAGGGTTATTGTGTAGGACGACTTTCACTGTCACTAACGGAATCACTGCTATCTGTTGGCTCACTGGAATATTTTTCTTTTTGTGCGACTTTAACAAGGAACCTAGCCAGTGACACTTGCTTTTGCCTCCTTTTGAAGATTTCATGGGGGCCATTGTTGCAGTACAGTTACCAAAGAACAGTCACTACACTTGGACATAAAATAGATAAAAATGCTTTATGCACACACACGTGGTCACAACACTTAGTAAACAGCATACACTCGCACGGATGTTGACTATATGAGTGAGGCACGCCGACTGAGACCGAGCATGGGAGATGATTACCCACAATCCCGCAGCGAGAGAGAGAAGAACCATTGGTTCAGTTGTGATCACGTGATGCTTGGCAGACAAAGCGTATACGTACTACTCGTATTGCAACACCTCGCTCGTTTATCAAGTTAAAATGTTATTTAAAAATTTGCTCGTCTTGCAAAACACTCGCAGATCAAGTTACCCGCAATCCAAGGTTTTACTGCACATGATGTTTATTCAAAAAGTGGAGGAGAAAACCAGAAGACCCGAAGAAAAATCCACGCGATCACGGGGAGAGAGACACAAACTCCAAATATACAGGTGTCAGGGTTTGGGATAGAACCCATGACCTTCTGCATACCAAGTGAGGTAGTTAACATCTCGCCACCATGTTGCCCCACATCTGTGTCTAAAAACCCTCTGCTACCCGACACAGCCAAGGTGTTTAATGCATCATTTATTATAATTTCAGCTTTTACGAGTAAGTTGAAGAACAATTCTCGCAACCAAATGCAGCAGTTGAGTCAGACTGTCTGCTTAAGAGTGCGGCATCAAGCATCATCAGGACAAGATCCAGGAAGTCAGAGTAACAGTCTGGGAAGTTGGAGTATCATACTACCTGGATTGTAGTGTAACGTTAAACGCCACATATCTCATGCTGAATGTGCCTGAGAAGACTTGTTCTTAAACTCAGCAGTGAGTTAAAACAATGATAATTGGCCTTTTAAACGTTGTACACAAGACAATTAGATTTTTTTCAGTTGTGTTGGATGGGAGAGGGTTTAACATGTCACAGATTTGGTCAAGCCATTACGTGGCCTAATCCGAAAATCTATTAAGAATCCTGGAACATTTTGTGTGCAAATGTGTCCATGGAGATTACGCGGATTAAAGCAACTATGACAATCACATTGCTCTCATGGGAATGTAGGCTGCCAAAAGTATTCCAGTTGTGCGATTGATACAGTGATTGGATCTAATAGTTTTTGCATGTGTGTGTGATTTGCAGACATTGCGTGACCTGTCGTGCTTCATTCAGTTTGATCACGTGAGCGTGTACTATGGTCAAGACTTCCGGACTAAATACAAAGCTCCTACGGAATACTGTTTTGCCCTCAAGGTGAGCTCTGCAACATGCTCGTGGTCACCCTTTCCTGATCTGTATTGGCTTCAGCATCACACCCCTTGATTCACTAATGTTGGGAACCTATTATGTATGAGTGGTTAGAGAGATATTTCTTTTTACAATTTATAACTTTAGGCTGACCCTGCAGAATTATTAAAAACAACCTCTGGGCCATACATTTTGTGGCCCACTTACTGGCTCAAGGTTGTAAACAGGAGGTCAGCTCTCCTTCAATGGTAACAACCTTGCTTGATAAGCTGTGTTGTCACATCTATGCCTCTATATAAGTGTAGTGAGTCCAACTAGTTGTAGACGTTATCTTGGGAGCAACACTATTTATCACGCAACTTTAACACAACATTCCACAATCTACACTCGGGGCTCGAATGCCCATCTAACCATGCTACGGCAGAACGAGACACTGTTCGCTATCCCGGCCTCTAACCGCGTGGCTAGAGGGTTCTTCTCCCCGACGTGGATCTTCACACCAGCACACGAAGAACCCTGAGCTCCTCACGGGACCCCCGTTATATCCCCCTGGGCTGGGGCTGGCTCCGCCCTTCACCCCGCCCACCTTCCAGATCTCTCGAGCTCTTTCTCGAAGGCTCCCAAGAGCTCTTTTAGACCACGTGACCGCCCAGCGGCCCATATCCACCCGTGACCCCCCTCCAATATCATCCGGTCACGTGTCAGCAGGTCAACCAGCGTATCATGCCCCAACGTAACCCTAGTTGGCTGACGCTCCCTCTCGCTCTAGCACCGGGAGCCCACACCGCACACTGCTCGTGGTGCCTCCGCGCTGACCAGCGCTCACCCAAGCCCCGCTAGGGCTGGTACTCCGCCCAGTAAGCGGGCTACACATAATGTCAGCACATTATCCGCCGTGGCTTCGTATGCCCGGCACCACACAGTGACAATCAAAGTCACTACATAAGGAACGAAACAGGTGGACTTCACCACAAATCTGGCTGTCGCCTGATGAAGCTTGTTGTAATTACTGGTGAAACGTCGAACTCAGATTGTAGATCTTGTGGCTTGGCTTTCCAACACATCGTTGTGCTGTACTCTTGACGAATTAGCATGTTCTGTTGACGTGACAATTACTAATTGGCTGTGTTGGGTGGTGGCGGGTCTAACGACACATTTATATATTTATGCGATCTAACCCAAAAAACGTGTATTATCTTTTGAGTTTGCATGTTCTCCCTGTGGTCGTGGTGATTTTTCTCCAAGTCCTCCAGTTTTTCCCTCCACATTTATAAACGTGTGTTTAGAGTATTGGCTGCTATAAATTTCCACGTGATAAACCACTCCAGTTGTAGCCAGGTCGCTTCTGAAAAAAGAGCTACACAACTCAGTGGGTCTTACTTGGTAAAACTAAATGAACAAATATAGTAAAAAATATAGAGTACAGTCGCAGCAAATCACTTTGACAGCTGCTCTCAGCATCAGTGCAGTGTCTGAAAGAAAAGAGAAAACTATGGGAACAAAGAGGTTCTGGATTTTTGTTCAAATTCATTTTTTTCTTCCATCCATGCTGAGTACAGCAATCCTTCGCCAACTGCGTTCGGTGGTTAGGTTCCTGAACACCCCCCTTGTTTGGCAAAACCGTGGTTGGAAAGACTAGAGGCTTATTTAAAATAAGGTGTTAGGTTCCGTGGCTGTGGTTAACACTCATTGAGGCCTCGCTATGCATCCTATGCATTCAGAAAACATGAGAAATGTGTACTGTAAAACAAAATATAAACAAAAACGCCTTTAATATTAATAGTGAGCAAAAATATTTTGAATTACCTTTAATATTGAGAGTGAAGTCCGGATAACGATGGCCGTGACGATGATGATGATGACGATATTGGTGATGTTAGGGGAAGAGGGGGGTTGGTTTTATGGATGCATGGGTACTTGAAACCGCGGTTGGAAAACCCATGGTTGGTGAGGAATTTCTGTACATCCTCTAAGAAGCCAGTCACCCAGGAGGAGATAGCTCAGACCAAAGTTAAACTTGACAGACTCCTGAATGAGAAAATCACCACCCTTTGTCTGAAATTCAAATTTGCCATTCAGCAGCTCCTCCAATTCCACAAGAACATTCTTTTCCAGACTGGAATATACAATTTAACCCCTTCCAGCAATGATTAGAGCCACAAAAGAGATTTGGGGAATTTAATTTGGAGCAAGAGAGCATAAAATAAAGCTACGTGCAGAGTGTATCCTTCTGACCCTCTCTGAAATCAAAACCTCAATCCCAACACTTTTTCAGGGAATCGAGGTTTTTGGAACGGCATCAGGATACAAACTATACACTGATAAATCAGAGGCGATGTCCCTCACGCTCGCCAAACCTTCTGCCTTGATCCGCCCCTTCCATTGGAGCCCCCTCGCACATTGACTACTTGGGGCTATCATGAGGTTTCCAAATAAACTTTCAGGCAAACTTTCTCCTCGTATGACAATAAATCAAGGCTTCTCTCCTCGATTGGAATAAGTTTTTTTCCCTTCTGAATTGAGTTTACCTCCTGAAAATGATGGTTCTACCCAATGTTCTTTACCACCTTCTGATGATTCCAACAAGAATTTGCACATTTCTCCATTAATCTGTGGCCACAAACTTGTTAGTATAGATTACCAGACTATATCCTCCGCGAAGTGAAAATGAGGTCTTGCGATCCCAGACTTCTGTAAATATGAACTGGCTAAATAGGAGCACTTATACAAATTTATATTAATTCAGGCAGTCTTTGAGGTACTTGGAAGGAATAGGTAGAGGTATCAGTAGCTCCATGGGGCTTTGCAGGACCAACCATCATCTCCTTACCCCAAGGACACAGTCACTCGCTTTAATCCACTGGTCAGCCAGCTGCACGATGTGGAGAATCGCTCGGATGTTAATGCTGAGTCCGCCTCAAGCATCCAGCCCCACTTGGCCACCTGGGGGAACCTAAGCGTCTGCATAAATAACAAAGGTGGTGTGGACTGCCTCTCCTGGAGCAATGCAAATATTAAAATAATTTGCGTAGCTGCTAATGGGGTCGATACTTTTCAAAACATCGGAACCATGAACGATATTCCTAATTGATATTTTTTCAGACACCTTACATATCAGAAGCGCCATCAACAATACACGGAACAAAGACTTAACTACTAAACCCCGAATTGATAACCTGGCTTTGGAGCGGTAGAACTACGTATACAATTGCAGAATCTCACAATATCCCACCATAATATAACAGGCCAATCTGTTCTCTCTTTATGTCAATGACTTGGGCACTGACCTGGATCATTCCAGGGTAAATCTTTTTGCAGATGACACGATACTGATTACTGCTGGCCGCTCTCCAGATGACGTGATTGCTAAGCTACAAGGTGATTTCAACAAACTACAACATCAGCTAGTTGAATTTCGATGTAAAGCTTTCATGATTGCAAGGATTCATCTTCTTTGGTTCTTTCGGTAAAGTCACGTAGAATGAGAATAAAATAATAAAATAACAATACAATTCTCACGACGTTTCGGCCACAACGCAAGCGGCCGTCTTCAGGTGAAAGGAACAGACCTGTTGGGACGACAGAGCTTCAATGAACGATGTTAAGATTCGTAGCGACTTTTAAGCTGGTTGGGAGAAGTGAGGCACCTTGACAAAGGGGTTTACATATCAAATAACTGAGGGATTAGCTTGTGACTGGTCACAGAAATGGCTATGTTCAAGTCAAAACCTACACATCCACAGAGGCAACTAGTAATTTAGCATTGAAATAGCTAAGGGATTAGCTTGTGCAAATTGCTGAGGGATTAGCTTGTGACTGGTCACAGAAATTGCTATGTTAAAGTCAAAACCTACACATCCACAGAGGCAACTAGTAATTTAGCATTGAAATAGCTAAGGGATTAGCTTGTGACTGGTCACAGAAATAGATGTTAAAGTCAAAGCCTACACATCCACAGAGGCACCTCATACATGGACGCCAAAGGGGGCTGCAACAACTCAACTGTCATACAGTAAACCGATGTGAAAAACCTAATTCTAAATTACATCAATATAATAAATGTACTTTATATTCTTCAATAAGCTAAGCTATTAACATTAACTGGGTATACACTACACTATATAATGAATACCATATAGTAAACCAATAAAAACTAAAATATAAACTACCTCAATGTTATATCACAAAGTTATATGGTGAAAAAACGGGTGGATTCTTACCTTCCACTTCAGCACCACGGACAGCTACGAGCCCCGTTCAGACGGATGAGTCCATCCATGGTCGGAGCGGAGGAGGAAGGAGGGGAGAAACAGCTGCAAGGCGCTGTTATGCTTAATGTTATAAACCATACCATTAACCGTGGTGTGAGAGGTATTAAGAGTCAGTGCCAGCGAAAGAGCTGCGGTCTGAAGGTCCTCGTAAAATACAATTAATTAAGAACCGAAATGGTTTAAAACATCTTTCCAATGGTTACTAAGCCAGAATCCATCTTCTCGGTTGAAATTGTCTCTGTGTTTGTATATGTGGATGGCCTCATGAACGAATCTCTCATGGTAGCCGGTTGGTTTGCAAAGAACCTCTGTCTTGGAGAAGTCAATGTCATGTGAGCCCACTGAATTATAACAGTGATCTGCCACGGCAGAGGAGTTCGTTCTGCCGTGTTTCAAGTCTGCTTTATGTTCGCGGATGTGGTCCAAGATGTGTCGTTTGGTTTCTCCAATGTAGCTACTACCACAGAGGCACTTTAGTTTATGAATGCCCGGGTACTGTATGTCTGGAACAGCATCTTTTACAGATGGAACCAGATCACGGATTTTATGTACATCCAAAAAGGGTAGTTTGCCATCTTTTTCGACCTCCATCTGATGGCTGGGTGTATGGAATTGATGTGGTCGCGGAATTGGTCTAGAGCAGGCTGACCATGTGGCCAGATGACAAAAGTGTCATCCACGTACCTCTTCTATAAGGTCGGCCGTAGAGTGGCAGTCTGGATGGCGTCAGTTTCGAATTTTTCCATGAATACGTTGGCTACAACCGGAGATGGGGGGGGGGGGGGGGGGGGGGGGGAGCCCATTGGGGTGCCCTCAGTTTGTTTGTAGAAAGTTCCATTCCAGGTGAAGTATGTGTTGGTTAAGCAATGTCTCACCAGGGGGGGTACATCAGTGTGCAGTCCTTGATGAACCAGGTCTTCAATGATAGCGATGGTGTCAGGTACCGGAACTTTGGTGAACAAAGACACCACATCAAAACTGACACGCAGGTCGTCTGGGGACAGGGAAATGCCTTTGATTGTCGATACTAGGTGAGTGGAATTTAGTACCACAGAGGTAGTTTTTCCAGTGAAAGGTCGTGGTATATCAGCAAGAAAACGTGCCAGTTTATAGGTGGGGGAGTTGATAGTAGAGACGATGGGACGAAGGGGTGTAGCTTCTTTGTCTATCTTTGGGAGGCCATATATTCTTGGTGGTCTGGCAGCAGAGGGTTTCAACGAGAACTGTTTGGTCTGATCAATTAATGCTGTTGAATCAGAGATGATTTTGTTCGTTTTGGTAGCCAGGCTGTTGGTGGGATCTCTTTTTATTTTTGTATAGCTGCCATCGTTGAGTAGTTCTTGAATTTTGTTGTTATATTCTGTTTTGTCCATGATGACAGTGGCATTGCCCTTGTCGGCTGAGAGGACGACAATATCATCTCTCTTTTTTAATTGAGATAATTCAAAGCGTTCATCTTTGCTGATGTTGCTAGGTTGCATCTTAGCGTTTTTGAGGGTTTCAGCGATTTCTGATCTTGCTACATCTGCAGAGATGTAACTAAAGCCCTTGAGTGCAACGTCGACATGGGCAATGAAATAATTAACTGGTATGTGTCTCGGTGTGACAGCAAAGTTTAGACCTTTAGCTAAAACGGATTTCAGGCCATCAGAAATGGAACTGTTACTGCGATTAATTACGACTTTGTTGACGTCTATCTTTTCGGTGTGTGGATCTAATTTTTTGTTGGAGAGGTGATTGAATTTGGAAATCAAATTGTCCCTACATTTAGTCGACATAGTGGCAGCCGAAGAGGTAGACATATTGTCTACATGTTCCCAATCCGATGTAGACACTTAACATTTACAGCAACAATGCTAAATTACTAGTTGCCTCTGTGGATGTGTAGGTTTTGACTTTAACATAGCCATTTCCGTGACCAGTCACAAGCTAATCCCTCAGCTATTTGATATGCAAAACCCCCTTTTGTCAAGGGCCTCACTTCTCCCAACCAGCTTAAAGTCGCTACGAATCTTAACAGCGTTCATTGAAGCTCTGTGGATGTGTAGGCCTTTAACATCTATTTCTGTGACCAGTCACAAGCTAACCCTTAGCTATTTCAATGCTAAATTACTAGTTGCCTCTGTGGATGTGTAGGTTTTGACTTTAACATAGCCATTTCTGTGACCAGTCACAAGCTTAATCCCTCAGCTATTTGATATGTAAACCCCTTTGTCAAGGTGCCTCACTTCTCCCAATCAGCTTAAAAGTCGCTACGAAACTTAACATCGTTCATTGAAGCTCTGTCGTCCTGACAGGTCTGTTCCTTTCACCTGAAGACGGCCGCTTGCGTTGTGGCCGAAACGTCGTGAGAATTTTATCGTGTTATTTTATTATTTTATTCTCATTCTACGTGACTTTACTGAAAGGACCAAAGAAGATCAGCTAGTTGCTCTTAAACTGTCCTGAATACCTCCAAAACCAAGGTGCTATACTTCTCACCAGGACTAAAGCAGGAAGTTATTTTTCCCCAATTACACTCCTTAAATAATTATCAAATAGAGCAAGTCAAGATCTATAAGTATATTGGGGTCATCTTGGATTCAAAACTAAATTTTGAAGATTACATTGATTATATTGGTAAAAAGACAAAAATAAAAATTGGTTTTCTGTATCGACACAGGCACTGCTTCCCCCCAATGTTCCGTTTGGAATTGATAAAAGCTACCATACTGCCTCTACTTGACTACTGTGACATTGTGTATAAATCAGCCCCAAGTAATGTACTGAAGAAGCATGATTCCATCTATCACTCGGCCTTAAGATTTGCATTGAACTGCCCATATAGGACTCACCACTATGATCTCTACATTGGGTCAAACTTAACATCTCTTAATGCTCGACGGCTTGTGCACCAGATCTTATTTATTCATGATGTACTTACAAAAAATCCGCAGACTACCTGCTGGATCTCCTCTCTGTTTCAAAGAACAAATTTGACCTCAGGTCTTTGCTCATTTACCAGCTTTACATTCCCTATTGCTTTACAAAAACTGGAGGAAGGGCCTTTGCTATTGATGCCCTCAGGGTCTGGAATGCTATTGCCAATAAACTGCAACTTGAATCGCGACCAATGAGATCTTCTCTCAAAACTGCTCTAGAGGAGTTGTACACCCCTAGCTGCCACTGCTATTCATTGGCGTAAAATAAAATAAAATGTTTTCGCTCCAGATGACGCAGAAAAGTATTATCTGTATTTTGATTTAGCGTGCTGATCTTAAAGGTGCATTGAAAAATCTGATACTCCGACTGATGCTTCTTTTGTTGTGGAGTAACTCATGCAGCCAGCTTTGGCTCTAGGAATTGGTGTTACATGTTGTTTATGTAGTTTATTGTAAAAAAACGGTCACAGTCCCTATGATCACTGTTATGTTGCAATTCTGGCTTTATTTTTTGGTGATTTAGAAAACTTTTTTGGTTTGGACATGTTTGTTTTGTTGTAGTACGGAGTTAGACTGATGGCCTTAATCTAAGTTTTCTTGTGGTTGTTGTTGTTTGACTTGCATCCCACTGGGATTTTTTGCACACGGTGCTTTTTTCAGGAATATTTTGCTGTTTTTTTCATGGATTTTCTGTTTGCACAGTCACATAGTCACTTTAAGATGTTTTTCTTGTTCGTGTTTTTGTTTTTTTGTTTGTTGTGGTTGCACCCGATTCAAGAGCCGAATGGCTCACAGGGCTATACCAAAATAAAGAAACTGAAACAATCAAATATAGAACTAAGGCGCTATGGGATGGGATATCTGCTAATCCCATCAGACTTTCAGTCACTACATAATCGTCCCAGATCCTCCCTCCTAGGGACCATCTAATTACAATTTCCGCACGGCACTTGCGGCACCAGCTAGGAGTGGCGCTCATTCTCGAGTGACGTCTCACCAGATGCCGACGAGGCGCGGCCCGAACGTGCGAGCGTGCGCTCTGGTCTTGCCCGGACATCGAAGAGTTTTACACCACTACCATCGAACAATTACGTAACATAAAAAATTACATCACAAACATCACTGTCAATTAGAGGTCTCACTTTTAGCAATCAACCCACGCCAAAGCTTCTCAAAAAGTCAAAATAATACACTCAAAACATTCGATGTAGCAGCAGGTAAAATTATACAGGGCATCCGGGATTCCTTTTTAACCTGTGTCCTTGGTGCGTTGTTTATCGGTTCGCTTCTCAGTACCTCTTGGGGTAACTGTGCTTAAAGGAAACGAGGCAGATTTAAAAAAGACTGTGGGATCCACTCTTGGATAGCCCATGGGCCCAGTGCTATCAGCCGCACATTCCTTATAATCGTTCGTGATTCTCCCTCGGACAGTGCTTGCAGCTCCCTGCTCTCAACCCCCCCTTCTCCTTCCTCACCCCTCATATTTAATACAATAAAATAATATCCAACCCTGCGAAATCCCAATGATGGGCTCCATAAAGAATGCGTACGACTTGTAACTCCGGGCGGTATGTTTATTGTTCGAGTGGGGACCATGTGTTGGTGAACCTGAATAAAGAGAATAACAGCATTATTATTTCTTCCATACCTTGAATTTCATTAATTTTCAAGATATTTTTTTTGTTAAGTTTAGCATTTTTGTTCAATATTCAAATTGAAAGGTAATTCGACACAGTGGAAATGTATTTAGTCATCCAAGCTCAAATAAACCGAGCCCTAAGTAAAACACGTCTAAATAATACAAAACAGCAGCATAGATGGAATGGGAAAATAAGTGTATCGTCTCTGTTCACAGCATCCACAAATTCAGAAAAAGTCTCAGTACATCAAGTACCTTTGCTGTGACGATGCGAGTGGGCTGCAGCAGTGGGTGACTGGCATTCGTGTCGCCAAGGTGGGTCTCCATCGCATCTCCTGCCCCCCACCCCTCAGCATCTCGCTCGTAAATGGAAACACGAACAGTATGCACGATACAAATGTGGCTTTTTAATTCCATGCTCCCTCTGTTTTGCATGGTCAAAAGCACTGACTTGTCGATGCTACTTTGGTGCTCTGTCTGAGCGGCAGGTCCATGGCTGACATCGTCTCCATCCCTCCTCTGTTCTCTGCCCTCTTCATATCCACATATGCTCCCTTCCTTCAGCTCCTCCAACATCCCAACCGTTTCGATCTTTCCCATTCATTTTTCCTTCTATAATGTCCTTCGTCAAACGATCCCCGCATATAATTTGTCCAATCCTGTTCTTCTTTCTCTCTCTGGTGACTTCCATTGGTGTGTTTCGTTGATGCCATTCAAGATATATTCATTTGTCTTCTCTGCTCAGATCATTCTCTGCATCTTTCTCCATATCCATATCATGAACACTTCTAAACTCTCTCATTTTGTCCATTCTCAGTGTCCACATGTCCTCTCCATTCAAAGCTGTTCTCCGCACCGTTGTCATGATTATTTCCCTCTTGACAATTTATCTTATCCTTATCTACAACTCTCCCCTGTTACCAAATACCTCTCGCCAACCAACCCTTGATATTATGGCTGCTACACACCCTTCATCTTCCGTGATAAATATCTTTACCTGAGCTATACCCGGTTGTCCAGCAAGTATGATATTTATATTCCTTTACCCTTCCTTGATATTCAAGTTACAATTTAGTTTCATGAAAACCGATTGTGATAAGTAAAAAAATAAAGAGGTATTGTGCAACCATGCGAATGTTGGCTCACACCACTGTTGGCAGAAGGGTCTCCACCCCAGGGGGAGCTCTGCTAACACCACCCACAGTCTGTCCTCTTATAACGCAGTGGTAGTTACATTCCTGAAGAACACCATGTGATGGTAAAATCGCGCTATAATATATAATATAGGGTGTAAAGCACAGTCCGTGATAACACGTGAGATGCGTACGCAGGCCTAACAAAGAATGAGGCGCATGGGTAGCATTTAGAAGCATCCAGCAGCATCCCAATGCCTTGTTTGATGCTGCGCCAAGGCAGCCGTGCAACCGCTCATTCCTACTTGCGCAACATAGTTCTGTTAATTCCATCACGTTATATCCAGTGTGCATCTGCGTTATAACAAAAATGCATTCCCTAATACATTCATTGCCTTATATCCATTTTACATAATGAAAACACACGGCGTTATAGGAGAACAGACTGCTCGCCATGACGGTCAGACGTCGTGAAAGACGTTGGAGAGTTACCCACACTTTACCCCACCAAACACAGTCTCTGCTGACCAGCTAACCACTGAGTCTCCATTACAAGGCTGAGTGGACACAGCCAGGGGCAGATTTTGGGCCACTTGCTTTTTTATTGGCAACTGCAGCACCAGGAAATGGAATTCCACCGGTGACCTCCGGCTTTCAAGCCCAGCGAGCTGACCATTAATTTGCTGCATCACGTGACTCGTTAGTGTTTTACAAACTGTCTAATTTCAGTTACGTTTGCAATTTAGCAGACATTCAATTTCAATTGTGTCCATATCGCACCTTCAGTAAGTTGATGTTAAAGCAGTCGATCGTGAATAATGAAATTTGTAGACCCGGTATGTTACATTGCGTTTTAGAAACTATCCATTGTTTTATGGAATGCATATGATGCAAGTATTTCAAACTTATTTATTTATATTTTGTTACCCTGAAAGGCCTTATTGAGTCCCAAAAATATTTTCAGGAGGGTCCTGCAAAATGTTTTTCGTCATAGTGAAAGTATGATCCAAATTACTTAATTTTCAGGTATTTTTTTAGCATTGACATGTTTGGCCAATACCATTGACAGTATGTGAGGAAACCAGAGAAGCTGGAGGAAACCCATGCAGGACAGAGCGAGACAACAAAAAAACATCATACACAATGGTGCCCAAATCAGGAATCAAACCCAGGCCCTTCTTGCTGAGCAACCATTTGTTACCAATGCGCCACCCTGCCCACCCACCGGCCATATTTGTCTCCTTGTTATAATTCTTTCATCCTGTGGGGCTCTTAGGGGAAGTAATGATGCCTCTTAATAATGGTGTGCACAATAGAGACAATGGACTTGTTTTATGTTTTATAGTATGGGCGCACGATGTACGACAACTATCAAGATGCTTTGAAGAGGGCCGAGGTGACCTCAGACTGGTCATCCCTCTCCTCCTCCAGCATGAAGTCCGCTTCAAGCTCTGGAAGCATTCCGGGTACGTTACTTCCCTGGGGGCCTGAGTACAGAATGACATGCACTGTTATAAAATTTGCATAAGCCAAGTCTTGCCATGACCCAGATTCCATGAGGGAGTTAAGATGGCTAAGCATTGTAGAGTTAGGAGAGAAGTTGGGGATAGTCGAGGACCAATCTTAAGTTGATTTTGTCAGTCAACCAATAGTTAATAATATAACAAATATTGCCAACATTCATGTAAAAAAACATTAATAATAACGTGAATTACATTTATAGCGCATATCATGAATAATAACATGTACATAATTTCCAATACACGTACATAAGCAGCCACAGACTTGCTGGAACGCGCAGAGCAATGATTTCACGGTGGCCATGTTGCATGGGGTTGTCTGCCTGGCAGTTGGTTGGTTGTAAAGGGGGGACGACGACGACCTCGTCCATAGCAACGGCAGCCACGTCCCAGACTCACTGGAACTTGCATATCTACTTTAAACAAAACGATGTTTAGCCATCCCCTGATTCTTAAAGCTGCCTGCATGTTTGTATACACGAAAATAAAGGCAAAGACAAAACATCCTCCCCGTATAGCTTTGTCAGACTGTTGGGTCAAGTGCTGTTTGCGAAAACCTATGAAGGCCGGCACGGCATACACAGGAATGGGTAGTCATACAGTAGTCCTTTGGTTAACAGTGACATCGGTTCCCAGTTTTTCAGTTAACGTTTCGCCTCCCATAGGACCCCCCATGGTTTCGACTTCCATAAAAATGTTGATTAACAGGATGTTTACGTTATGCACGCGGGCACCAATTTCAGCCAATCCGAGCACTCATGTGGGACTGAACCATGCATCGGTCAATCAGTAACACCCATTTATGAGAGTTTAGACCTCGACTGCCTTTGTTTACATTACGCTTTCTGTTTTGGCAGTGGAAACGGCTCTCTTACATACTCAGTGATTTTTATTCAACTTATAAGTGAATTCGATTAACAGTTATTTCGGTGAACAGTAGTTTGTGTGGAACGGATTAAATACGTTAGCCGAGGGACGACCGTATTGTGTGCCTGTACATGAGTAGAAGCATACAAAGAGCAACATGTACAGCTGTTGTTTATGGAGTTGTGTATTTTTACCACGTCCGTTTTTTTATAAACACTTGCTGAGCACAGGCCAAAAGACCCATAATGTAAAGCGGCCAACAACAAACATCACTATAATAAAATCTGTAGTAGTTAAGGAGTTATAACGTTTGTTGCATTGAGTGAGGTTTACATGAGAGGTCGGGAAAATGGATGATGGGAGGGAATTCCAAAGTGGAGCAGTGTAAGGGAAGAAGCAGAAGGGGAAGCGTAGTGACCTGCAGTGTGGCGAGTAGGTGGTTTAGTGAGTGGGTGGGTGGGTGTGATGTTAGCTGAACTGTGGTTGTTGAACACAGTGTTGATAAAAAAAAACTGGCAGACCCAAGTCCTCATCATGGGTGGTGTAATTAATGTGTCAAATTCACAGGAAAAATAACAATGTATGCATCATAACAATATAGTAGCAATTAAAGAGTAATGATGAGGCTACTGACTGACAGTGAGCGAGTGACTTTAGTGAATCGGTGAGTTTCGGATCACAAATCGCCCTGAACTGCTTTACATTGCATTCTATCAAGTGCAGCGAGGCATGAACTTGGCTCTCTCTACCCCAGATAATCAGCACTGCTCAATATTCCCCACAGCGAGTAGCGAGAGGCATCAGCTTGAGAGAAGAAACGCTCGGCACATGTCCTGGCACGGGGACACCGTGAATCCGCGGACGCATTTCCGTGGGGGGGCCTGCCATGTTTTCATCGCCCGTTTCTCATGCAGAGTCCCATTCGGGCCACACGGAAGTGGGCATATCGGACGCCACGTCGGGGAGCCACACGCGCTCCCAGAGCATCGTGAGCACCATGTTCTCGGAGGCCTGGCGACGGGGCACTCAGATAGAGGAACAGAGCAAGGTGAGCTGCTCGCTCTTGAGCCCTGCGTTGGAATTTCGCAGCCATTAACGGCACGTGTTGAAGTAGTTACAGTGCCTTAGGTGACTCGCAATAATGAGGTTCACATCCGGGTTTGAGGGGTGGTCATCTTGGCCCATCATCTATCGGGGGGGTCGTTGATGTTGTTGATGCGAACATTCATATTTTTGATTTAAAGCTTTCGTGATTGCAGTGATTCATATTATTGGTTCTTTCGGTAAAGTCACGTTGAAGGGAAAACAATAAAATAATAATATATAAAACAATAAAATTCTCACGACGTTTCGACTGCAACACAAGCAGTCATCATCAGGTGTAAAAACCAACGGCAAGAACATTTGAAAGAAGTGGCGGTTTGTATTCATTTATTTTTAAACGTTAGCACCACGGATAGCGATTTGACAGTTTGTTTAGATGGACGAGTCCATCTATGTTCGGAAAAGAGGAGGGGGGAGACGAAAAATTAATGTATGCTGTCTGAAAGCTACCATAAGCATGAACAATCAATTAAGACCCAAAATGGTTTATCAAATCCTTCCAATGATTGCTAAGCCAGAATCCATCTTCTCGGTTTAAATTGTCTGTGTTTGTATATGTGGATAGCCTCATGAACGAATCTCTCATGGTAGCCAGATGGCTTGCAAAGAACCTCTGTCTTGGAGAAGTCAATGTCATGTGAGCCTACTGAATTATAACAGTGATCTGCCACGGCCGAGGTGTTGGTCCTACCGTGTTTAAGGTCTGCTTTGTGTTCACGAATGCGGTCCGAGACATGTCGTTTGGTTTCTCCAATGTAACTACTACCACAGAGGCAACTTAGTTTGTAGACACCAGGGTACTGTATGTCCGGAATCACATCTTTTACAGACGGAACCTGATCACGGATTTTATGTAATGTGTTGGAACGGACCTGGATCTTGTGTTTATTCAAGATTTTGGAGATCTTTTTGTGATCCCTGCAATGTAGGGTAAAGTGATGGTTTTGAAAGTCTCTTCAAGAGGGTCCTTCTTCATGGTTTGAGTGATAGCTTTGCGGATTGTATAGTCGGAGTAACCATTAGCCTTAAGAGCTTGGTGTACGTGCTTGAGTTCACTGCCTATGTGTTCCTGGTCGGATATGCATTGGGCTCTATGGTGCAGAGTCTTGATGAGAGAATTCTTCTGTGATGGATGGTGGTGGGAATCCGGTTTCAGATAAGCATCGTATGGATAGCTTTCCTGTAGACAGAGTGGCTCATTGAACCATAAAGTCTCTTTTTTATTAGGACATCCAAAAAGGTAGCTTGCCATCTTTTTCGACTTCCAGGTCCGTTTCAACACATTACATAAAATCCGTGATCTGGTTCCGTCTGTAAAAGATGTGATTCCAGACATACAGTACCCTGGTGTCTACAAACTAAGTTGCCTCTGGTAGTAGTTACATTGGAGAAACCAAACGTCATGTCTCGCACCGCATTCGTGAACACAAAGCAGACCTTAAACACGGTAGGACCAACACCTCGGCCGTGGCAGATCATTGTTATAATTCAGTAGGCTCACATGACATTGACTTCTCCAAGACAGAGGTTCTTTGCAAGCCATCTGGCTACCATGAGAGATTCGTTCATGAGGCTATCCACATATACAAACACAGACAATTTAAACCGAGAAGATGGATTCTGGCTTAGCAATCATTGGAAGGATTTTATAAACCATTTCGGGTCTTATTTGATTGTTCACGCTTACGGTGGCTTTCAGACAGCATACATTAATTTTTTGTCTCCCCCCTCCTCTTTTCCGAACATAGATGGACTCGTCCATCTAACCAAACTGTCAAATCGCTATCCGTGGCGCTAACGTTTAAAAATAAATGAATACAAACCGCCACTTCTTTCAAATGTTCTTGCCGTTGGTTTTCACACCTGATGATGACTGCTTGTGTTGCAGTCGAAACGTCGTGAGAATTTTATTGTTTTATATATTATTATTTTATTGTTTTCCCTTCAACGTGACTTTACCGAAAGAACCAAGAATATAAGTAGTCATCTTTTTGTTGTTAATGTTGATATGTCATTCTTGTTGATGTTCTTTTTCATATTTCAATGTTATATTACTGTTATGTCATTATTATTGTTGATGTTGTGATTGAGAGCAGGCCAGAGAGGAATTCACTTCAGTTATATCCCTCGCAAATGTGTGGCCAGTGCTTGTTTATAGATAACTGTATATGCAGCTCGAATGGCTCCAGCATGTCAGCTGTATTTACTCTCCATGATTCGGGATAGTGCTTTTACACTTCCTGGTCTTAATAAGCACACCTGAGATGTCCTACACAATATATACATCGGGCATTGCACCTTATCTCGCTGCATTGCAGCTTACTTAATTGGAATATTGAAAATATAAAGGTCTCCATTGTTTTGGTAACATTTCTGGCTTACCCAAATCCAACTCTTTGAGGTTTTGCTATAGGTCCTGTGTGTGTGTGTGTAAGGCCCTTGACTTGCTGCTGCTCATCAATGTCTCTTGAGCTGAAACTTAGTTGTGAGTTCAAAAGGCTTTGTCGTAGTTTGCAAGCATTTTAATGTTTAATTCTCTTTTTCGTTTAACATTCCTATGTGTGTACTTGTATATTACAAGGAATGAATCAGTATTTGCTCTCGAATTCAAACTCCTTAGGCGAGCAGTGATTTTGGAATAGCTGTAGTGTAATAAAAATTCATTATAATTAGTATATGATTAGATTGGCACATATCAGTTGCTGTAATTGTGAATGTTCATGGCATTTTCAACTACAATTGGGTTTTCGTTGAATGTAACGTGGACACACGTATCTGAATGCTAACCTATCCCATTGTTTCCTTAACAGGAGAGGCATGCAAAAGCTGAGGGTGACAGCAAGGCGAATGCCATTCCACCTCCCCCTCTGTCAGGATTGAAACCTCCTTTTCAAAACTGTAGCGTCCCTTCAGTTATCCCACCCACCCCCCCCCGACTCTCTACATCTGTCGATGGGACCTTTACCACCACCTCCCCCTCCACTGCCAGCGAGCTTCACTAAGCTCCCAGGAGTTCAGGCGATGCCTCTACCCCCACCACCTCCATCTATGCCAACATTGTCTCAGCCACCAGTGAAACTTGCTGCGCCTGCCCAGGTGATTAACTACTCTGTTAAACTGCCCACATCGGCTGTGAATACCTCCCAAATACCTCCTGTGGCACTGCCAGGCCATGCATTGTCTACACAGCCAATCCCTCCTCAACCGCCACCGTTTCCTGCGGTAACTCAGCCTGCAGTCAAAGTCTGCAAAACACAGCCACCAGTGCAGATGTCTGCATGCCAGGCACCACCTCCTCCACCCCCACCTCCTCCACCCCCACCTCCTCCTCCTCCACCTGCTAATGCCTACCCTCTGGCAGCACACTCACAGCTTAGCCTCAGTGCTCGATGTCCCACTCCAGTCAGCAACAACCATTCCACATTTCCACTTAGCCCGCCAAGACCTGATGAGGATTTTCCACCTCCACCTCTGGATTCTGACACACAAAAGGGCTTCCTACCCTTTCCCCCTCCACTGCCCCCTCCTAAACAAATCCCACATCACCTGCTTCCCACTAGCATCCCTGGGGAGAGAGTGCCCAGTTCACCCTCGCATGGGGCTTCACCGCGCTCTGGCAAGAGGCCGCCTCCTACCCCACAACGGAATTCCAGTGTCAAGGAATCAAGAGCGGGCGTGGCATCTGCAGTGGAGAGAATGGGAGTGACCGACACTGAGCAAACGGCAATGAGCCGTGCTCCCTCCACACAGGCTAAGCCTGGGAAGTTGAACTTTGCAGCAAGGAATATTCCTATCGTCTTTCCACCACCTGGGAGCAAGCTCAAGTCTGCTGTGATGTCTCCTGAGCTGCCACCCCCTCCACCTCCAGAGGAGGCAGACTTTCCTCCACCGCCATTTATGAACGTAGATTGCTTACCCCCCCCTCCAGAGCTGCCTCTTCATGCAAAGCAGCCCTCGGGGCCCCCAGCAACATTGCCCAAGCCACCGCCCGTGCACATGCCTCAGGCCTCCAAAGTGGCCTGCGGTCAAGAAAGTCCTCTCCGCAAACAAGCCGCCTCCTCCGGCCACGAGGGACCGGCTCAGTCCCCGCCCAAACCCTCCTCTACCAAGGCAGCTTTTTCACAGAAAAAAGTGGCACCGCCCACGCTGCCCAAACGCAGCGACAGCACACGGCTCTCTGGACAGGCAGATGCCCCGGGCTCTCCACCAGTGCCCGTGGCGGAAGCTCTTGATGCATCCAACCCGGGAGCCCCGGGTAGCCCCAGCACCCTCTCGGCCGCCTCGCCATCGAGCTCTCCAAGCCGGCCGGGTGGTCTGGCGCAGGCCAGTTTCATTGCCGATCTCAATCGCACCTTAAAGCGCAAGTCCCTGAAGCAACACGTGGGCTCGCCCATGCACGGGGCGGATGACGCGACCCTGCCGCCGCCACCGCCGGAGCTCCTGAGGGAGCCCGACAGCCCGTCGGTCTCCTCTCCCGGTGTCTCGAGGTACGCCACGTTGCGTCGAGCAGCGGCGCCACCACCGCCCCCCAAACGGGACAACAGCACCCGCCTCACGCACGACTAGGGTGCAAGCGTCGTTACGCGCCGAGCTTCCCACACGACCAGAGTGCGAGCGTCTTTTCGGGCTGAGCCGCATGTGACGCTCGCTCCGGTGGGGAGTGGCGCGCACGTGCACACAGGTGACGCGGGAGACTCGTGGCCTCTGCATGAACGTCACACGCGCCGTAACTCAGGCAACGGACATACGCATCATCCCAGTGTTTGCCTCTCCCTGTACAGTGCGTCGGTGCTGAAGTAAGTCGTGGATATCTCTTTGCTCATTGTGTCATCACTCATGTCAGTTCGCTGCAGTAACCAGAGACCAACCATGCATCCAAACAGACCTTCCGGTTCTATTTGTCGTCACTTGCGTTAAGGGAATTCACATGTCAATTTTTTTATGTGTGTCCGTACACCTATGCATGGTTTTAATGACACAGCTTAATGAAGTGAATCGCACAGCTGTACAATTCGAAGGGTAATGGAGAAATTATATAAAAGAATACAGTTAATTTTTGTTACATGAAATACAGATCTTGATTTAAAGCTTTCGTGACTGCAGGAATTCTTATTCTTTGGGTCTTTCAGTAAAGCTACGTAGATATAAAAATTATAAAAATATCACAACGTTTCGATCGCAACACAAGCAATCGTCATCAGGTGAAAAAAAAGTTATGACTTTTGCTTGTGTTACGATCGAAACGTCGTGATATTTTTAGTATTTTTCTATCTACGTGGATTTACCAAAAGACCCAAAGAATATTTTAATACAAAGCTCAAATACAATTTACAATGTCAAAAGTCATTGCCCGCCCAAGATTTTTATATTTGCAACATTTTTCGGGAGCATTCGATAAGCGCTATCCAAAGGTTATTGTTTCACAATATACCCCCTTAAACAGCGAGGCATTATCCAAACCACTGAATCCAAACGTTTTTTTAAACGTGCATTGAAATGTAAAACGCATTATCCAGTAGGCCTTCGAAGGCAGTGATCACATGGTAGATGCGTTTATTGTTGAGGGCACAGAAATCAGTATACTGATCATAAGGCTGCGTTCAACGGCATGGCACATTACAAGTGCAGCAACGTTCCACGTGCTGTCTCTTAAAACCTGCCTAAGATCTTAAATGTCTTGTGTGTCGTTTGCGATTATGTAGTTGAGCTAAACTAGCCTTCAACTAAGTTGAACTATTTTGAGTAATACTCTGTAATCCTTCGTCTTCACTTATGATACGGAGAGTAGTTCACTCATTTTAATTTTAAGCCAAAGATTATAAGGCTGTACATATTAGCCAAAGAGGTATCTTCATTTGGGATTTTTGTTACTGATTTATCAAATACAAGTAAATTATAAACAAACATTGTTTGGACTCAAACACAGCATATTTAAAAACAACACTTTTTATAATAACGTTAACGTTTTAGACTCAAGTAAAACGATTGCAATGTCCTGGGTACCCTATTGTGTTTTGGTAATTGCAAAGGATTTCGGTGGTTGCGTGAGAGACCGTTCTGTGAACGTGCCGCGTGTAAACCAGACCTGTTTAAACATGGAATGAGGAAGTACTTTGTACTCGCATTATCTAATTTCTCACTGATGTTTTTTTAAATTTCTTCATATAATTTCACGTCAAAATCAGGAGGCACGCTGGTGCCAGCCATATAAGAAGTGCAATGCCTCGCTTGCAATATTTTGTCCCTATTTTTAATCCACAGGAATCGTTCACATCGGCAGGGCATTACGATGGTGGAATGATGTTACTGTGATGAGTCATAAAACCAATGCCCTTCCAGCGAAATTACACCGCTCCACATTAATGTCGTGGGTGCTGATTGTGACTATAGGTGAGCAGAATTCTCATACAATTAACCATGTGCATAACCACTTTAGTCGACAAAACTAAATGCAGGATATCGAATGAATTTTAAAATAGGATGAATTCGTCACAGTCTGATCGTGTCGTGTGCCAGACCTCAGGGCTTGTGGCAGCATGAGCAGCAATTTGTTATGGGGTCGTCAGCAGGAATAAAATTATCATCATTAATTAATTTCACCTCAATGCCATTTGCTCCTCATCTACCATCATTATCTTATCACTGTCAGCTCTTCTGATATAAGCATCAGCTGTAGTGTACATCTGGTGAATGCAGTCTCAAGCTGCCGCCATTCTGCTTGGTCATGGTTCCATCTCGCTCCTTAGGAACTGACCTCGTTGCTCAATCTGCTGCACAGTGGTTATCTTCACATGTATTATCTCCTTGGGCTGCCATTCAATCTCTACACTCATCCAGGCGTACCTCAGAGTGAGCACAGACACCACAAGGGGGTTTCATTTCATAGAAATGTTGGAAAGCGATTTTCACGAATTTCGCTGTGATATGAAACTGACTTTAATCATTTCAAAAATATATTTTTTGTATTTAAAAAAAAAGGTTTTTACGAAAGGTCATTGAAGATTTATCTCTCTCTCTTTCCAATTGTAATACTTTTTTTACGTTTTTTGTCGTTGTAGTAAATTGTACAAAATTTTGCTTGTGCCAAGGTGATGCAGCGCTGAGTCGAGACAGGAGTTACCCGGACAGTCTGCTTGGCAATCGCTCGCTATTAAAACAATACACACATGCTACATGTCAACTAACATAGTTTTTATTTTGGTTTTGCTTACGGTTAGATAGTAGACAACGTTGTGTTCATCTGAAATATTAAAATACTCTTTAAGTTATTTGAATGCAATTAATGCCATTTATATCAGGTATTTATGGTGATTACATATCCTTAATGATGGCCTTCATTGTTATTTGTAACTTCAATTGAGTAAAACTTGTTTTTAATAATGCATGTCAGACAAAATACTGTTCTATATATTTTTTATAACACAATAGCAACGTGAAGACAAAACTAGTGGCCTACAATGTATTGTCAGTTTAAATGTATTGGCATGCATTAGATACATTTTCTTTTAACTTAATCTTCACAACACATTTCCATCCAGCAGTGGCATATACATGAAATTTAAGGTTTATAAAAATTCTACAAGATTATTGAAGTATGCAGGCATTAAATCACCCCAATATTTAAAAGTAGACAAAATGGACGTGTCTCTGTTTTTGCTTGAACATTGGCTGATAGATTATTGCCCACATGAAACTGCAGCATTAATGACATGTTTATCAACCATCAATTCATGACAATTTTACACTTTCACATTATTCTTTTTTTACTCTGTCAAAATGTGAAATAAAACATTGTGACACCACAAAGTGTGTAAGGTAGATACGGAGGCACCGTGTAGAGTTGTTATTGGTTGAGTGGAAACTTGTATCGGTTGAAAGTCTCCCTCAAATTGCAGAAACCGGCATTGTACAAGGATCATTAGACTTCCATAAGAGGTTATTTTGGTTTAAATCGCATAAATATTAATGTCGTTAAACCAGCCACCACCACCAGACACAGGCCATTAGTAAGGTTTATCTCATAAACAAAACGTGCAAATTAGTTACTAGTACAGCACACCGTTGTGTTGGAGAGTCAAGCCACAATTCTGGCTGTCGCTTGATGAGGCTGGTTGTAATTACCGGCAAAACTTTATACTTGAATTGTAAATATTGTGGGTTTACTCTCAAACACCGGTGTGACAAACCGTACTAACTAGCCTTTTGCCCGTCCAAGGACGGGTGTATTGCAGTAAATCTGAAGCTTGCAAGCGAAAAGCAGACCGCGACGTGCTATTCATTGCATTAACGCGTGTGCAATTTGTAAGGGTGCGGTGACACAGACCTATTTCATTTTTAGATTGTAATCCCTTGTTCATCATGATGTCCTTTTTACTTTGATGTCTCAATAGCGTTACGGAGATCGCGTGATATGAGCCTTCTGCCTTTGTAGTGAGGGTTGTAAGTTTACGCCGAGGAGGGGGGAGCAGGCGCCTTGGCCCCCCATGTGGAGTGACGTCAGCCGCTAATTATTATGAATGGGGGGGGTGTCTATTTGGAGGACGTCACCTGTTAATGATTATTGAGGGAGGCTGGTCGATGTGGAGTGACGTCACTTGCTCATGATTATTAGTGAGGGGTGGGGGGGGGAGTACGCCATATTGAGTGATGTTACCCGCTCATGATTATGAATGAGGAGGAGTGGGGGGGTGTCCATTTGGAGGACGACCTGCTCATGAACATTAATGAGGGGGGCTGGTCGATGTGTAGTGACGTCAAGAGCATTAAGGACAGACATTCCTGGGTGATTATAGTAGGTATTGGCTGAGTCGAGTGGTGGCGGGTTTAACAACACATTTATATTTACACGATCTAATGCAAAAACCTCTTATGGATAATATTGGTTGCGAAAGCCTACGTGTTAAGCTGACGTTATTCGACTTGACACAAGCTTCGATTTTTTTGTGGAATTGATACTGAAGTCTTAAAATATTTACATCACTGACTGGTGTCTGTACAATAGGCTCACAAACACATTTTGCTCCCAAACATCAAATTGCAGTGAAGTGATCAATTGTGTTGATGTAATCATTGTTGCTCCAGCTGTTCATAAACATCCAGGGCATTGGTAATTTCACTGGCTCTTTAGTAGCGTTAACATTGTCCAGTGAGGGAAAAAAGTATTTGATCCCCTGCTGATTTTGTATGTTTGCCCACTGACAAAGAAATTATCAGTTTAATTTTAATGGTAGGTTTATTTGAACAGTGAGAGACATAATAACAAAAAAATCCAGAAAAACGCATGTCAAAAATGTTATAAATTGATTTGCATTTTAATTAGGGAAATAAGTATTTGACCCCCTCTCAGATTTCTGGCTCCCAGGTGTCTTTTATACAGGTAACGAGCTGAGATTAGGAGCACACTCTTAAAGGGAGTGCTCCTAATCTCAGCTTGTTACCTGTATAAAAGACACCTGTCCACAGAAGCAATCAATCAATCAGATTCCAAACTCTCCACCATGGCCAAGACCAAAGAGCTCTCCCAGGATGTCAGGGACAAGATTGTAGACCTACACAAGGCTGGAATGGGCTACAAGACCATTGCCAAGTAGCTT